CTTTTTTAATTTTTTTACAGTAAGTTTATTTCCAGACTTGGTTTTTTTTCTAAAATATACTATATATTTTTAAAAATTAATTATAAAAGCCTAATACCAAAGTCTTCTAAATTACTTATTATAAAAATAATATTAATAAATTATTATATTTTTTCTAATCTAATTATATCTGCTAGTAATACTTTCTATATTATTTTCTTAATTATAATCTTAATAATAATCTAAATTCAAATAGATTACTAGAACTTTAATATTATAAATATAATTATATCCGGTAAATATAAATACTCCGAATCTTTAATCTTAAGATTTTAGCAGATTTTTAAATAATTTTCTTTTTAATAATTAAAATTATTAATAGACTACTAGATTTGCTTCAGCTTTTTAAACTTTTTAGAAATAATTTCTATTAGATTATCTTTTTTACTTATTGTTAGTAAAGCTTTAAAATCGGATATAACTAAGTACTTTAATACTTTAAAAATATTATTTCTAATATTTTTATTAAACTTTTTAAAATTATTCTTATTCTTACTTTTATTTATTTTTTTAATAAGTTTTTTAGCTTTAATAAAATCTTTTAGCTTATTTAAAGTTAATATTTAATTTATTTTTACTACTAACTAGAAAGGCTTAGTCGGATTATAAATATTTAATTTATAAAAGAATTATAACTATTTTTTTCTATTTAAGATCTTAGCTTGCTACTAAAGCTTATTTTTACTAAAATCTAATTTAAAAACTCTGATTTTTAAGTTTTTTATATTATTTAATAGCTCTGTTACTATTTTTTCTATATTTATCTTTCTTTTTTTTTTAATATAACAATCTAATTTTCTAGTTTTATATAGGTTTATATCTTCTATAGGAGTTCTTTATATTAGTCTAATATCTAATATTCTTAGTTATTTAATTTATTTTTAAAATAAATAGTTCTAAAGACAGAGGTTCCTTCTGACTTTTAATTAATTTAACTAGATAAATATATTATAATAAGAATAATATAAATCTTTTAGATAGTCTTTTCCTTTTTGTTATTGCTTATATTCCGCTGAAAGAAAATATTTTTATAATTTATTTTATTAATATATTTTATTATCTATAAAAAGTAAGTAAGATAGTCAGCTTTATTTTAGTTCTACTTATCTAAAATAAGTATTAAGAATTATTACTGTTTATTTATCTTACTATAGACTAGATACTTCTATACTATTTTTAGTAAAATATCTTTTTTTTTTATATATTTTAAGTAATTATTTTATAGTTTAATTTAATATAGCTTAACTAATAATAACTTCAGCCAGTTAAACTATAATTTATATAAAGTTAAATATAATATCTTTTATAATTCTATATATTCTTCTTTAAGATTAAATTTTATTACTTATTTATTTTTGTTTCTATTACTATTATTTAAATATATATTATTTAGAAGTCCTCTATATATAACTAATAAATAGATTAACTTACTATATAGTCTGGCTATATTACTAGATATTATAGAGAATTACTATATATTATAAAAGATTACTATATATTATAATAAAAAAAAAGAATATTATTATATATTATAGAAGATTGCTGAGCGTTGTTTTATAATTTTAAAAACTACTTATAAAAAGATATTAAAATCTTAGTTTTAAAACTTAAATAAATATTAAAACTTAATTTTACTTACCTTACTTGCAGATAAAAGAAGATAGATATTAAAAATATTAAAAATACAGACTTTAAAATATATTTAAAAAAAATAAAAAGATTAGTGCAGAGGATAAAAAGATAAAAAAAAATTAATAAAAAAAATAAGAAAATAAAGAAAGATTGGTATAAAAAATAAAAAAATAAATAATAAAAAATATAAAAGTTAAAATATATTATATAAAAAAAAGATTTTAGCCTTCAGTAAATAATTATATATATAAAAAATTAGAAAGGCTATATTAAGAAAAAAGTAAATAATAAAGTAAGATTTTAATAAGATAATATTTATTTTTAGTAAGATTTTAATAAGATAATATCTATTTTCAGTAAGATTTCGATAAGGTAATACCTATTTTTAGTAAGATTTGGATAAGATTATACTTATTTATACCTTAGTTTACAGAATAAAACAGTTATAATAATAGTTTAAATTATTATTATAAATAAGTATACAACAGTTAGTATAACTCTAAGATTAAAATATATTATAATAGTAAATAGTATAAAAACTACTTTAGATCTAGTAAAAAAGATATAGTTTTAATATAATCTATTATTTATATAAAGATTAGTACTCCTAGATTTAAAGGGCTTATAATTAGTCAGAACTTTATATAATTTTATTATAACTCTATATAACCGGAGCAAACCGCAGTACAACCACTGTAACTTACCCCCTCGGCCCGCTATGTAGTGATGGAAAAAGACGTGGGTGCGGGAGTTATATATCTTATGCAACACAGCCACTCAGTTCTAAACGTTGCTAACTGCATGCCTCACATTCCATCGCTGGAAGTCAAATATCGAATATATTATCATTAGGGGCCTCTTGGTTCTATTTTCATACTAGAGGTTGAGCGTAAAATTCCCAGAAGAACGCTCGACCATGAAAGGTGTAGAGATACCAGTAATGGGCCGTAGATGCGCTGTGGCAAAAAAATGACGGATATAGTAATGTGTGCTTTGGCCGGAGGTAGAAAGACTCTGTCGAAGGACTTTGCATTCGTCTCAATAAGCCGAGTAACATTGTTAGTGTTGACAGAAGTTATTTGAATGAGTGAATAGTTGATCAAGTACGTTAAGCTCTCGCGTGCCATAATGATAGGGAAGCTGTAGCCATGCTTGCCAAGACAGGCAGCTCCCTGCAAAATCGAATGATTGCAAAATGGCCATGGCGAGCATCAGAAAAGTCCGACGCTGATAGCAGCTCTATAGCACGAATTGATGTTGTTAAAGAAGTGCTAAGCATATGATATGCAAATTATGGCATTCGCATGAGTGATTCAAGATCTTGATTTGAGTGACAAGCCGCCTATTTGACCAGATCAGCTATTCTAGAACACGGTCGCATGTGCCAACATCTGCGCGTATATTAATTAATTCTTGAACAAGTAGCACCGATGCTTTGAAACATATCAAGAAGCTAGTGAGCATTATATGAATGACTTCCATGCGCATGGTCTGGTCGCCATTCAAAAAATATGCTGTGCTAATAGAACGGCTCCGATCGAGGTAATTAACCAAGACCACTGACAGAAAGATCAAACTAGTGAAGCATCAACAAAGATAAACGCTGAAAGCACTGAAAAACAAAAAATGACCTATAGAAGGTTATCGAGCATAATCCGTGTAGAATGTGATAACATTACTTCGTTAGGCAGGGCGGTCACGTTTTTCATACGGATCCCAGGTAGTCGTTAGTCCACAGCCTTATTTGTACCATGATCGTAGTATATAATCCTTTCCTCAAAAAGGGATGTGCTGGGTAGGCAGGCTCCAATCTCACATTCACAGGATGTTGTTTAGCACCAGCGAGGAAAGTTCTTTGCAAACCGCCCGCATCGATGCGGGAACGCATCCAGGCTGACGAGATAATTAGGCCTCCCACCCTGAAGGTCTAGTTGTATATTTTACTTGCTATGCTGAAACCTTCCGAGAGGATGTCTACATGCGACACACAACGCTCAATCTGCCTTGTGTCACTAAGCATTGACCGTAGAAATTGTACGCCGGGATCGTTCAAGAGAATCAGAATGGTTGCTGGTGGTTTGCTTTCGATGGAGCGGGCGTCTAGACCACCTCTTCCTAGATTGTTTGTCTTACCTTTTGTCGTCGACATGCAGTTAATCCAAGCCTGCATGCTGCAAGGCGCTCAGCTTCCTAATTCGGAAATTGGAATCACAAAAATATCGGGATTTTCGCTCCTGTGACTGAGGGTTGTCGACGATGATTTCCATGTAAGAGAAAGTGCGACAACGCGATTAGTAATTGCATGAGAAGATGACTACAAAGAATGAAGAGCTGATGATGCTTTAGGTTGGGTGGCTGTTTGTTTGCAGAATGAAAGCCAGACCCGAGCCCTAGCTGCAGCATGTGAATAGTCGCTCCGCGGGGTAAGAGACAGTCTGAGACTAACACGAAGTCAGTAGCCACCACGTGCTATGTGGTCAGTATACACAGGGCTCCAGGCTGGTTTGTTTGATCGCCTACTGCGGTTCCGGTGTCTCTTTGATTTTACTTGTCGGATGATGAGACGATATTTCTGTCAATCTCACATTGCTACTGCCTTTAATTCTTGCGCACCATCGGCCTGCGAATCCCTAAACAATCACCCTCGACATCGGTCATCGTCGAGGGAACTCTTCTACCCCAGGCCTGAGGTAAACTCGAAACAAGGTTACATCGTCCCCATCTAGATCGCCTCTTCTCTCGATGAATGTCTCACTCTCCAAATTAGCCAATTGGATGATCCGGGACTAGAAGGCTTGTCTAGTCTTGATTGGGCTAAGCAACCCCCACACACTGAAATAAGGTGCATCTCGACTCCGTTCCCCGGATATTACAGCTATTCGCTTCAAACAGGCCAATCTCACCTACCGATACGAGTTCCCTTTGGACGCCTTGCAGCAGTTCTCGAACAGATAATACGAGCGCACTCTTCCACAAGATGAGAGCAAAACCACGACCCCTGCCTTACGCGTGCGCTGACGATTCGATTTGGGGAATTGTGGCGGCGGCTATAGACGCATGTCAGCATAGTCCAGCCCAATTCAGGCAGTCTGGGGAAACCCCTTCAGGACGGGCGCGTCTCGTGACGACCTGGATCCGGCAGTAAGGAAGAGAAGATTTTCCAGAAATGGTTAGCATGATCGATTAGTTTGCTAGCCCACAAGATACTCACTGAGTCCAAGACTGACCCTGCATGATTAGCGTTGGTCTAGCCTCGTCCAGCTGAACCCTGCATGCTTTCCCGGTGCGGCTCGACCCCGACGATCCTCGTGTTTGGTCACTTAGGAATCATGTCTACCTCACCTTTGCGGGAATTTCCGCAGTGTGCAGTTTACACTTGGACGGTTCTGCGGGTAAGCGAGCGAAGCGAGAGTCAGACGGGCGCCTCTCACTGGGAAGAATGTGGGGCCGTCACGGACAGCTGCAATGGTTCAGGGCCCTCAATCTGGCTGGAAAACTATATAAACCTCTGGACGACCCATCGAGAAGATCGTCTCATCACAACTATCATCACCATCCTCTTCTACAAGTCTCTACACGGAATCATTCTGATCATCATGCACTTCCTCAAGTCCACCGCCGTCCTCCTCGTCTCCGCCCTGGGCGTGTCCGCCACCCATTTCCACAACAACTACGGCAAGAACGGCTGGATCCAGGACAACCAGGGATCCGACATCCAGCTCAAGAACGGTGGCTCTGTCACCATCGGCGGCGGCTGGGGCTTCTTCTGGGTCGACAGCAGCGTCTGCTCCAAGAACTCGGTCACCTACACCTGGCCCTCAAGCTACGGCGGTATGTTCTTTGCTTCGTACGATGCAGCTCGTTGAATAGACAGATGATGATGTGATATAGATGTCTATATCCACAGCGATGGTTTCTTGTATGATGCTAGTGGTGAGTACTGTGGTGTACTTGGGGGGCAAGGGTAAGAGGTACTGACCGTGGTCTCTAGGCTACCAAATCTCCGGCGGTGCTCACATTTGCGGTTAAATGCTGGATGTGATGAGTGGAGTCTGGGGTAAAAAGGGGGTGCTAGGTGGAAAGAGGAATGTACATGTTGATTTGTGGGTTGCAGAGTCCCCCTTGCAGATAGGTGCTGTTCTTGTTGAATCACTGTTGTGAGTCTGCGAGTCATGATTTGTGTCAATCTGAAATGAAGATCCGTGCGCATTGATCCCGGCATGTCTTGCAAATGAAATTAAGTCTAGAGAGATGGATCTTACAATCCTACCAGCGTTCAGTACTGTAGAGAGTCAGCAATCCGAGGTCTTGCCAATTCGTGATGCACTTGATCGTACATTTGGTCCGAAGTCCGGTTCTAGGCGAATTCCACTCCCAAGTCCATCTAATGTCTAAATTGTCATTTGTACCCTCTTGTCTACTTACCAAGATCCACCATCCCAACCAAATTCCCATACTTCAACGTATTGACTGTGGCCGCCGCCTGACCCAAAGCCGGCGAAACTGTCAAAATCATCCTTGAACAAGAACCGCCCTTCTCATCCCCACCCGTCGTCCCCTGAAAATGCTCCCTCAGCACCATCGTAAGCGGCGAAGACCGATACGGTATCCTGGCCGCCCTCGCAGCCCTGGCACGAATCACCTCCTTCAGCGCGAGCAGATCCGTGTTAATCTGCCTGCCCGTGCGCTGCTCCTGGGAAGACGGTTTCAATCGCGGCAATCGCGGCACCGCCGCAATACTCTTATCATGATAGAACTCCGACCCCGCCAGATCCACCGACACCAACTTGCCCCCAAGGCAGGCATGTCCCGCCATCTTCATCACCTCCTCCACCGTCCTCACTGCATCCTCCACATACCCCAAGAATTCCGCCTTTCTAGCCTCTGCCTCGTCAATCCTCGCCTGATCCACCCGATAACCAGGATTAGGGACGTACTTCCTCGCCTCATTCTTCACCAACCCCTTCAAACTTTCCTCCAGATAAACATCCGTCGCCCGCTTCGCAACAGGGACGAACTCCGACTCGCGCTCCACGACCGTCTCCCTGGCCGCCAGCAGCGCGCGGTACACCACGTCCACCTCCAGCACGGCATGCGTCCGCGAACTCAGCTCATGCACCGTCGAAGTCCCCGTGGCGCGCAACGCCAACCGCCCACGGAGATGCGCGAGGAACTCATCCAAGCTCCAGCAGGCTTTCGTGGCAATGGGCCGCACCCGCACGCGGCCGTGCGCCAGCACCTCCGTTTCGCCGCGGAGGTGCGTCTTCCCGTCGCCGCCCTCGCGGATGTGGCACTTGCTGTGGCCGTTGAGGAGGTCGAAAGCCGCGGAGCTCGTACATGCGGAGCCCGAGGCCGAGGCCGAGGTGGGATGTCTTGGAATGTTCACAAGACTGTCATGATGGATAGACCTACAAGAATGAGCCGGGGGGCCCTTTGGCCCCCTACGCGATCTGTAGTGCTGGGTTCAAGGTGAGTCGCCGGATCAAAATCAAAGGAAAAGATAGATCTAACAAAACATGGAACTTTAACATTTTCGAGCATCCAGCTATATCTGATGTATAAATGTGTATAATTTCCCCCCTACACGGAAGCCGAGTGGTCTGCCTAACGATAGGAAACCTCAAGAGGGAGCAGCAATCTCGGAGCAATCACTGAAAATCCCATCTGACTCCGACTCCGCATCCGCAGAAGCGGCAGACTGCTCCGTGCACTTGGCGGCCGCTGCGTCAGCCTCCTACGCATCCTTCTTCCCCGTCGTCATCTCATCCTTCACTGGCCTGCGTCCCTTGCGCATCTCCTCTGTTTTCTCCAGCCACTCTGGGACCCCCTGGATGGCGAACTGCGGGCTCATCTTGTGGTCCAGCAGATGCCCCTGAATTTCGGCCCCACTGAACTCGCCGGAGGGCACCAGCGTCGTGAACTCGCTTGCCAGGGCGTCAAGCGACGACAAATTTGGCGTGACTGGCGGCGCAAAGCTCGGGGTGTCCGTGTCCGTGGAGGCGTAGATCGACTTGAAGAGGCTCACGACCTCGGGGGTCTGGGAATACCCGTAGGCGATGGTCATGTCCACGCGGCCGTGGCGGCGGAGCGCGGCATCCAGCTTCTCGACATGGTTGGTGGTCATGATCAGGATGCGGTCCTCGCCGGCACTGACGCCGTCGATGGCATTAAGCAGGCCCGGCCCGAGAGTGACCCCGGTCGTCGTCGATGCCTCCTTGCCACCGGCACCGCCGCTGCCGTCGTCTGCCCGTTCCTGCGCGACCGCCACGCAGTCCACGTCCTCGATGAAGACTATGCACCGGAACGGCAGGCTGCGGAAGAGCCGGGCCAGCTGGTTGTCCGTGAGCTCCTTCTGCGACAGGTGCAGCAGGTACAGGTCCAGGCCCAGGTGGCCGGCGATGGCGAAGCACAGACTCGACTTGCCCGTGCCAGGGGGCCCATGCAGCAGATAGCCCCGGCGGTAGGGATGCCCCGGCTGCTGTACCAGGGCTGGATCCCGGGGTCCAGGTACTCGTCTTTGCTTTGGTCTTTGAAGCCATGTCAACTACCTCTAGTCCTCATTCTTCAACAAAGTGCAAGAATCGACCAAGGAAAGAACGGATCAGATAGCAGAAAGAGCCTTCACTACGGTGACATAAGTTATGCCTTCAAAGACGAATAACTGGAATGAATCTCGTGGTAGCTTTGTTTGTCAATGGGAGCATCACGAGCACACTTGACATGTTATTACAGATCGACAGTTTTGCCGTTGAACTCTTTTGGTGCTCGCAGTTGGGCCGGATCGAGAGAAGAGCAGCAGAACCACCTACACTCTTTTGCCGGGTTTTTAACTCGTTGACGCCAAATATGCGTCTGAGGGAGAACGGTGAGTAGAAGAAGGCCAAGCGTGGCTACGCTGCACAATGCCGAATACCATCTATACGCCCTCTAGGATAAAACTACACAGGACAAAGCGTTTTGCCAGGTAACAGCTTACTTGTCGCTGACTCTTGTACCATCATATCATAACTGCTGTTCATGACTTTTATCACCTTCTTCTGTTGTTGATCTTTATGCGCATGATGTGCATCTCTGCTTTATCTGTCACAGTCTATTTGCAGAATAGCACGAGAAGATAAAACGTGAAACAAGAACAAAATGCGGCACACACATCCTGCCCCCCCGCGCTGCGAACTTTACCATTCGCTTTCCTCTTGAGAATCTTTCCCTCCCTACCATCGCCAGCAAAGCCCCAAGAATTATCGTACGTTTGAATTGCCTTTTAGCCATCATCCGGCCAATTATGCCAGTATGTGATGTACACGTGATCCTGCCCGTGAGAATGCGGCATCGTAGTCGGGATGGGGGATGCCCTCCCTGCCGTAATTCCAGGATCGATTTCAGATCGTTGCGGTGAGGTACGCTCCTCGTCTACAGGGGCATCTCCATGGAACTCCGCGGCAAGCATCCGGGATTCTTGATTGTCGTTGGCATTGAGTGGATGTTCGGAGTCGTTCCAGCGCATGTAGAAAAAGGCTTGGTCGTTTGGATCTGGCATTGTGGGCGCAGACCTTTGACGAGGTTTTGGAGGATTTCGTGGGATGGAAAGCAGGAAGATGAGGGTTTTATTGTAGCGATGGGAAGGAGAGTCGGTTCGGTTTCCTCGATATCGCTGTGGTGAGCATATAATATAGCTGGATGGCAAGGGTTGCGTCATGACAGGATCATTGCATTGTGGCCTGTCAGTATAGTAGGGGAGGCGCAAGGTGGAAAGTTTGACTTCGTTGCTGGAGTTTGTAGAAACTCTGTCTGAGTGTGTCAGTTTCAGGGTTGTTGTTTGGCAAAGCTTGCTGCTGACGGGGCTGTCAATTTGGATCACGAATCAAGTCGCAGACCCTTAAACCGCGGAAAGCCTCCTTTGAACTCAAGTTCAGCGACCAGGGGATTTCAAATATCACAAAAGCGCAAGTGGGTTAGATATTACGGCAACAGGTTTTGAGGCACAGAAAACTCTTGGAGTCTGGTCGTCAAAGCCAAGCAATCGTTACCACCTGAAGACTTCTTTTCGTACACCCCCAGCATTGAACGCAGCTGAGTGCCTATAATAGACCGACGCGGTGGGTTCCTCGCCATCGAACACGGGCAGGAAGTCCGACACTCGTACGACAGCAGGCACATCGGCACAACTCGAAACAACATCTAAACCCTCCTCTTCAATCTCAATCCACTTATCCGCGATCGCCGCCACGACGGCACTGTTCCACACGCCTTCCTGAGCCGCAGAGGTACGAAGCACCCGTACAGCTCGCCGGCGGATGTGAGGGTCACGGCACCGCACGGCGACGTTGAACATGGCTGCGATAATGCCGAGATCGAGCGAAAAGGTTTTAGGAGTTGGTAAAGGAGAAGAGGAAGCCGCGTCTGAGGGATGAAATGGAGAAAGGATTGGGGAGAACCCCACAATGGACTCGCCTAGGGTAACCATCTTTTCGAAAAGGCCACAATACTTGTCCCAGTCGACATTGTCGCCTGCCTCGGCCTGACCCGCAGGTTCGAAGATATCTAGCGAAATCAAGCAGTCGATCTTACGTAGCTGGAGCACTGCAAGAGCGCGCCGCTCGCGGTCCGTCAAGGGAGCACTGCGCTCACGCAGGAAGTCGTCTAGTGCGGTAGACCAGCGATCCAGCAGGGAGATCGAGACGTCACGCAGAGCAACTGCCGCGTGACTTAACCCATTCAGCAGCTCTATAGATCTTGTGAAAGGAGAATGTTGCTCCGCCTTCGTACGTTCGGCTTGCAGCCCCATATTGCGCTGCCGGTAGTAATACGTGTAAATTTCGAGGGTCTCGCGCGCGTCGGCTAAAGAGTGGAACACGATGGGTCTGTCCAGCTCAATGACCAGCTCAGGCCAGATGTTAGCACGCGCTGCACTCATACGGTGGACGGTCTGTAGCACTCTTAAGATTAGCAACCGCATTCCTCTACTCATGCCGCGGATGAGCACCGTACCACAATGATTTGCGCCTGCAGGCGAGTAAAGAGGCCACACACCACGTCGATGGGAACATACGGCATGCGACCTTTGCTCAGAGCTGTGGATTTGTCGAATGGATTGGCTCGAAGTTCATCAAGGATTTTTAGTCCGCTGGTGATGTGAGCGATAGCCGAGCCGTATTGGCCGCGCATTGCCTTTGGCTTAGCTAGTACGCACATTTTATTACACGAGATATCTAGACACACGTACCTCGAAGCAAGCGAATAGAATACAAGACATTAAGCAGACGTCAAGGGGCTGTGAGCCGCCCGGCGCCGGCATCAGACAACGCATGGCGCATAGGTACTGTCGCAAAGCAAAGGAGTCGTGCATGATCTGGGTGCCGGTTTGGTAGACAGTGCCCGCATCACGCTCCAGGCGCTCATGCAGCGAGCCCAATGCAACAGTGACATGGCGGATGGCCGGCTCGTGGTGCGCAGACTGCAGTAGCAGGCGTTCCCAGAAGACACATTCGAAGTCGCCGGCCAGCTGTGGGGCAGTCTTGGCTATAAAAAACTGGAACGAGCGACGCTCTCGGTCGGAGATGAGTAGATCATCACCGAGCGACCGGGAGATGAGAGGCCTTGTGAATGCGTTTGATCGTAATGTCGTGAGGCTAGACGAGGGCGATGGGGGCGGAGCCTCGTAGCCGTCGCACACTCGGCCGGTTGAGGTACAGCGCAGACAGGCCGGGCGCTCTTCGGTGCACTTGACGCGGCGCTCTGCTTTCTTCAGTCAATCATTGCTAGACAATGGTATGATCTAAAATTACCAATCTCACTCACTCCTAAGTTCGGTCAGCAGGGATCTTATTGACTTGTGGGGTGCACTTACTTGCAGGTCAAGCAGCCGGTGCGCGTCTTGGGACGATACGACCGCTTCCGTTGTCCCGGGGCAACTCGGGGCATCGATCTAGTAGGTGTAGGTGCGTTGGGTTCTAAAGCGGTTCATTGGTATCGAGCCGGGCTGACGAGTGAGATGGTGAAAGTGTGGACCGATGCTGGCGATCTTATCGACAATCACCTGGGTCACATGTCGAAACTTGACCGCTTTAGGTTAGTCGATCGGTGAAGCCGGTTGGGTTATTTATAGCAAGCTTACAGTCAATGAATCTATTCCAAGTCGAACTATACCCAACTCACCAACATACATAGTCTCCAATATCTTGAAAGATAAGGAGCGTGAGAAGATACCAAGGCTGAATCTCCACATCCATCTATTATACACGCCGTCTAATCAACAAAAGCGACACGCCTCAGCACTCTCCCAAGCGAACCATATCATCACTCGGCATCTCCTTCTTACTGGTCACACCCATCTTCTTACGCTGCTTCCGACTCGGCATATTACTCTCCTTGCCCGGCATAATCCGACCGGGGTGCACCACATTGAGCAGTACAAGTGCCAACAGCATCGGCAAAGAGTCAAGGCAGTACTGGTACGCCTCATGGGCGGGAATCTCGCTGTCGAGGCCCTGCGCGTACTCACACAGCCGGAAGATAATCCGCATCTACTGCTTATCAGTCGTCTTTCTTTGCACCATGAGAGAAAGAATGCTTACCGTAATCAGGGCAAGACATGTATAGAGCACATAGAGTAAGAGCAATGCCTTTTTCGCGTCCGAGCGCCGCTGCTGTAGCAACTTGCGGTGGAAGGCCACGCCACAGACCACGAACACGAGGACGAAGAGCTGCTGCACGCCGACCCCGGCCATGTATATGTGTAAGCCCGTCATTTCCGTGCTGTAGGAGACGTTGTTGCCGGCTGCTTGGGCGGCTCCGTAGACTTGGACGATGAATGCACTATTGCATTGTCAGTGTCGGCTTCTGAAACCCACTACAGAGAGCCATACATTATGTCTAGAGCCACGAAGAAGATACCAAAATGCCAGGGTCGCACGCGTAGGACACGCGCGTCATCGGTGAAGTTCCACACCATACGGCCCATGACCATGTAGACGAAGGCGTTGGTCCAGAGGGGTGCGATCAGAATCAGCACAAACCACGCCGCGTAGTCGGTGTAGCTAGCTTGATGCAGGATGCTGAGAATGCGAAAGATGTAGGTCACCGTCTGGATGAGACCGGACATGACGATCACCCAACTGTAGAATTTTCGATGCAGGATCGCCTGTGCAAGGTGGGCGAGGGTCGTCAGGGCGAAGAGCACGGTAAACAAGTACGCAGCGCCGATGGAGGGACAGAAGGTCCACATCGTGTCTGGTGTTGTTAAAGCTAATGAGTTGTCAGGTATTGAATTCCTTTACAGCCAATATAACTTGGATAATGTACCTTTGCACTGCGTCATGGTGGCGGTGGGTATCGAAGATAGAGATGAAGAAGTAGGAGAACTACCGCTGGCAGTCATATAATCACTTTAAGTAGGATTCCTTCTTCATCTTGCTGCCTGATGAACAAAAGCTGAGTTGTTGTGATCATGGATCGTGAAGTTTGCCTACCAGTAGGGCTGGTATACGAGACTTTTTCTGATTGGTCCGCTCGTATGGACGCACCAATCAGATCGCCAGGTGTTTGCTCGATATGGCCCCACTCCACTTCAGTCGGGAGCGGAGTCTGGCCGCCGGCGACCAACTGGAACGACTAAGGTGCAGATATTCCTGCAGATGAATGCTGACAGGTGTGGGCTTATACTGGATTTATAATGTTTTTTCTTCGAGTTGTGGTCGTCGGAACTCGGGTATAGTGTTATTTAATGGCTCCCCATCCGCACATGATTTCAGCCCAAAAATCATTCCGCAGGCGGGTCTTTGCAATACATCCAATGGCATGAATGGGTCAACTGAGTGCAAGGAGTCAGAGCGCGAGTTGACCAAGGTCCTATCCATGTCAAGCTGAAGTGAAGAGAACGCCCGAGCACCTCCGCCTACACTTCTCAGCTCTCTTTTCTTTCACCTTACCCATCCTTAGTACGTCCCCACGCCAACGCAGAACATGCAACATCCACGATGGCCGGGGGCCGCTCGTATTAGTCGCCAAAGACTAGGTAAGTCATGCAGAAACCAGAAACCAGGCAGCTGCGCCTGGTCGTAGAGGAGATTGTACAACTCGATCTCCCGCAGGGTACACCCTTCAATCGGCGGCTCGTCTCGGTTCTGGGGCTCGTTGTGTTCTTCGGAACCCAATAAGTATTGACGATACGGAGCTACCCGGTCTCGCCCCCGATCTGGCGCTCGAGTTCGAGCTTGGTTACCTCCTGTTCCCACAGAGCGGGCTCCTTTGATACCGACTTCGACGTCGCCGGTGAAACCTGGATAAATCAGCGGTACCGGCACGGCAATCGCTGGAGGGCCTGTTCGGGATCCCATCCGTGCTCTTCCTTAGGCGGCCGCTGCGGCCCACTGCCGGAATTGTGGGCGCAGGCCGGCGGCGGTCGCACCCTCGAACGACGGGTCCCCTAGTACGGTTAGCGGAAGTTATCCATCAAATGGAGAAATAGAGGACGAGTCTTGTATGCAAGGCGAGGAGAGACATGTCAGGCAGTGGGAATTGTGAGTCAGTGCTGTATATGTTTGACTTGAAGCGGCCGCATGTCTATCATGCTACCTATAAGATAACTTCCGAATTCAGGGTCTGGCCGATCGAAAGGGAAGTCAAGAAGGCAGACAATTGAGGGGCAGATCCGATAACTTTAAGTGAAACTGATAGCCACCTGAAACACAGCCCGGCAAGTGCAAGCGTCAACGCTGATCATGGGTCAGTCCTAGGGTCGTTGAGTGCGTCGAAGACGTAATTTACAATGCTGGTTAGAGTTTCTGTGTCTTGGTTTTAAACGATGTAAAACAACGAAGGGTCAAGACCTGCGGAACAATAGAATAATTTTAACATTTGTAGCCGATAGTGAGACAAGAAGTGTTCGAGTAGCGGTGCACAAAAACGGAGCCGTCGATTTCGGGGGCCCGCCAGCTAATGACGAGAGAGTTACGACGAAACTCTCAGCTTTACAAGTTTCGTTCGGGTGGGAAAGACCCTGACCCGACTCTCTGGCCCAGATCAGGTATTCTACTGGGTACAGGAACTGGTACAGAACACCGCCAATGACACCAGTAACAGCAAAGTCTTGCTCAGACTCACTTCATGGAACTTACGAATGAGTGCATAGATACATTCGACACATCATCCACCTCTCGTCTCCCCCTCCCCATCCCTCGTCTTCCCACACGCTCGCCCGAAAGATTCAAGGTCAATGATTTCAGGGGGACGCTTGTAATAATCATCCCAGTGGAAGTTATTCAGCTCAGAGAAGGCGTTCAGTTCCGCATCTTCGTATAGCAGATTCAGCCAGCCGACGTTAAACAAAGTGCACCCTTCAATCGGCGGGTAGTGAGTGTCGTCCTCCGAGTCCTGCTCCTCTGGGTCCCACTCGCTGTTAACCAGGGGCACAACCCCGGTCTTGTTCAGGGAGCTCTCCGGATCTGTCGGGTCCGGCGCGCTCAGGACGGACTCCACGGCCTCTTGGTGCACTTCAATGATGAAGCGATATCGGGATGTTGTTCGTATGCGCGCATCCTCGAGTATCATCCCATGCTCGTCGCGGGCTGCTGCTGCCGCCCACTTTTCAAAATGCTCTCGGAGGTGTGCCGCGCTCGCGCCGTCAAAGGACGGATCTTGTAGAGCTGTGGGCCGAAATGTGTCTAGAACTACACCACTTGACAAGGCTCTAACCCGCCAAATAGTGGGATCTGAGCCTTCTACACAAAGGCTCCATTAACACAATGGTGGCTAGGTAAATAAGTTACGAAGTATGATCATTTTAGAGAGGTTGACAGTCTTGATTGAGTGGAGATAAAATGGTACATTTCAATTATAACTTATAACTTTCGGTGGAGAGAACCGACCCATGAACTGTGCCCGGTCGGATTCGCTTTGGTAGATGCACCGGTAGACCACAAACGTTCAGACCTTGAAACCGTCGGCTTGCAGCTTTCTTTCCAGCCGGTCCGCATAGTTCTCACTGGTCTGCATGGTGGGAATTCGCTAGATGGTTTTATGAGCTTTTCATCACCGTCGCCTGAGGTAGGCGGCACTGATTGTGCTTAGCAAGTAAATTGCGGTTGAGGAAGCAGGGAATGACACGCGACCGGCGTAAAGAGAAAGTCGGCCCGCGGTGCGGCAGATGGTGGCCACCCTGATCTGGCCAGGGTAGAGATTCAAGGAGAGGGTTCTGCTAATACGCATCTTGTGGTTGATAGAATTGACTTCAGTTAGTTTATTATTGGTTGGGGTTAGTCTACGAAGATTTGAGGAAAGCTGAGTATGAACTGGAAACGAGCGAAAGCGGCGGGGGAAGGTTACATCTATAAAAGTACCCCGCAAGCCCAAAGAAAGTCATGAGGTTGATGGAACCCTAAGCCCCTACTCCTGAGTCTTCTGGCTAGCTTGCCTGACTAATACCGTGTCAAGACTTATCCAAATCACCATTTATCCTCTTTGTCTATACGCTAGCATATAATTCAGACATCAGCAACCTTGCAAAGTAGCAGGATACTGTATATTACTAAATTAATTACCAGCTGTTAAAGCGTATCATAACTTCGACTTTTATCGTTATGCCCAGGGGATAAGAAGTATTACATATCTGCAACACGATATCTATCAGACTTTTGAATACTATTATATGAAGACTAGACTGTGGTATATAACTTCAGTACGTTGCTTGTGAAAAGGAAAACGAGAGATTGTCTCCGTTTCCAATCCTCGTGGATCTACCATACAGCATTCCTCAGAAGAGGCAGGCTGCTTTTCACCAGTAACAGGACAAGATATGCGTCCCCGTAATCTGGCCCGTCTCACACGTCCCACTCGTCTCTTCATACTTGCAGGTCGCGTCGGCGTATTTGTTGCACGAGAGCGTCCCGACTTTCTGGTCCTTTGTGGGGTCGACATTCGCATAGTCAGCCGTGAGCGAGCACGTATCGCCGAACACCGTGATCCCGGTCAGACTGGTGGGCTTCCTGGTGCCAGTCATCACGCTGCGGGACCACGTGGTGTCGCGCGGGCAATTGCTCTGGGCGAGACCGACGTACTCGTAATCCAGACCCTGGTAGATGTAGGTGTGTTTGTTGTTTCCTACCTCCTCGCGGAGGAACAAAGCCCAGGCGGACTTGTCACCGTAGGTTGGAAGCTTGGTATTGGTGGAGGTTGAGCCGGCTGCGGTTGCTTTGGCTGTAGTTGTGGTGCTAGTGCTGGTTTTACGCGCCGTGGTTGTCGTGGCGGTTTTGGCAGGATCCGCGGTGTACCCCAGATACGTGTACCACCCCGAGGATTGGCCCGCAATGCTGGACCAGGCGCTGTCGTCCAGGGCCCCACCGTCACTACCCTGGTCGTCGTTGGGGTTGACAAAGGGGCAGCTTTCGCCGGTGGCGGTCGTGGTCGTGGTCGTGGCCGTGACGGAGCAGCCGACCTCAACGAGGGTGCTGGTGGTGGTGCAGGAGGTCGAGCTGGAGTCAAGCGATGTGCACGAGACCCAAGCGTCGGTAATTGTCTTGCGGGTGCAGGTAGAGGTGGAGGTGGTCTTGGAGGTCTGACTCTTATTCGAGTCTTCATTGTTGGCATTGGGGTCCAGCGAGTTGCCGTTGATGTCGATGCCGCCCCATCCAAAATCGATTCCGCCGTCATCGTCGTCGTCGTCGTCATCGTCATCTCCATCTGGATTGTCATTACTGTTGGACCCTTTGCCTGGACTGGAGCTTCCGTCGTCGGTCGTGCTGCCGCCATTGTTGTCGTCGTCGGTGTCAACGTCGCTGTAGGTGAACCCGGTTCCCCTACAGGCCCACGTACAGCCGCAAAAGCGATCGCTGCACAGCTTTCCACAGTCATTCGTGCACTTGGGGCTCACGGGACCATCGGCAACGGTGATGGCGGGGGGCTTGGGAATAATGAGGTTGTCGTCGCTGCCGTCCTTGCCATAGGGCCTGGTATCCCAGGGGTAAGGTGGAATGATGACTGTACGCGGCCGGGGAGCATGCGTAACAGAACTTTGACCCAGAGGGTTAGGGTCGTCCGCGATAATCACGGTACTTGGGGGAAGACGAGGCGTGGGACGGACGGTAATGTGACTGTCAGTAGGTCCGTTGACCACCACAGGCCAGAATCACCAGCCGGTTACTTGGACTTGATTCAGACATCACAGTGTTAGTTGGGCTGAGCTCCACCTCCGAACTGGATTCACTTACTCGGTGGTATGTCAACCGTAGTCGATTCCGCGACACGGGTCGTTGTCGTCACGGTTGATACCTCACCGTCCGTCTGCGTCGTCACACTGCTGTCCTGCCATTCCACCTGCAATGTAGTGGTGTATGGAGGAGGAAAAATGATTGTTGGACTTCCCAGTGTCGTTTCGGGGAAAATTATCGTGCATGGAAAGGGACAGTCGGCGTAGGGATCTCCCCAGACGCCTGACCCAACAAAAGCGATTGTGTCGTTAGAGATATTAGAAGTTGAGGACGAGCTGGAGGAGTCATGTCCGGTCGAACCAGTGGAAGGGTCCAGTGTGGACCGTAGCTCACAGGCACCATCCGGACAGTACCCTCGACTACACGCAAAGTCGCACAAACCGTGATACTGGTTGTAATCGACAGTAGACACCGGAACCCCTGTAAGACTGGAGTTGGCTGCCGGTGCGTCGATCAATACCCCTTCTGCCGTACACGTACATGAATGAATCGGACAGTAACCGAAGTTGCAGGCGTATGAACACAATCCTCCGAGGCTGACTTCGCCTGTTCCGGCCACGCAGGCGGAAGGAGTGAAGGGGGAGCTGCTAGGAATTGTCAATGGCGAGCTGACTGTAGCACATGCGCCCTCAGGGCAATATCCATAGTTGCATGCAAAGCTGCACAGTCCACTGTAGTTGGCATCTTCTCCTGCGGCCGGGTAGCCCGTAATACCGGTAGCATTAGGCAAGGTTCTTTGCTCCCCGACCATAGTACAATAACAGGCTCCCACCGGACAATATCCGTAGGTGCAGGCGAACTCGCAAAGGCCAGCAAAGTTGCCCGTTCCAGTACCCTCGACACACACATCGGTACCGATAGGGCGTGGGATCTTCATGTCAAGCGCGGGTGAGACATCACTACCAACCCAAGCGTTCCAATTTTCGTACCCATCAGTACAGGTGGTGGTAATGGAGCCCCCCGAGACCTGAGCCACCATTTCCCCGTTGCGAGAGACGGTCACCACCACATCACCAGTGTTCGGATAGGCAACACTGCCGTGGTACATGCCTGCACCCCCATCCGGTGTATGTAGCCACTTGACACCACTCACAGCAACCCCGCCAACTGTCACTGAAACGTCGGCCTTGCTGCCCAGCAGGGCCGAGAAGAAGATATGGTCCTCCACTATCTCGGTGGGAAGAAATTCAATCTGGAGTTGACTGACGGTGTTGACTGTGGTATTGCCGTCGTTGCACGCTGCCCTTGGTTGAGGTCGATACCAGGTCACCAGTCCTTCATTCACAATAACAGTCGTGTTTGACTTGTACATATCAACCACAAAGGGTAGCAGAGCGCGCCATCCATCATGCGGCATATTCTTCACGTAATTGAAAGGTGCGCGGCCAATGTCGAAGGCCGCCATAGACTTCTCGTAGACCGGCCCAATATAGTGGGACTCTCCGTAATCATTCCAGGAAATAATCTGTACAAATTCGGGTTGCAGATACCAGACCTCCTGCCAGCGGTCGTACCACAAGTTATCACTCCGCCATAGCCAATTCTTGTTGTAGCCAGGGAGGTTAGTATAGAACCATGGGGAGACCGGCATCATATAAGGTAGACCTTTGAGATAATCCTGATAAGAAGCATCCACATAGGTGTTCATCTCTTGACCTCCCCAGGCCCATGCGGCCCAGCTAAAGAGCCCATCGGCCACACCCTTAGCTACTGCTGCTTTAGCTCCAACGGAGGACCAGTCGGGGACAAAGAAACACCCCGTCTGACCCTTGATATCCACCCAGTCCTTTGCATTGTTGGGCCCCTCGAAGGTGGAGACAAACGGTTGTCCACTGTGTTGGAAGTAGGCACTGCTCGCAGCATACTTTGTGATATAGGAGATTACTACCTCCTTCGGCCAGGCCCCATTACCTGCATAGTCGAAGGAGAAAAACAACTTGAAGCCCACACTCTCCGCCGCGAAAAGGCCGCCGCAAGTGATGCCTCATTGGTTGCATCGCCATAAGCCATGTTCATGGCAAATGCATCCAGGTGGGCTTCGAGGGCAAGATTGAAATCATTGGTCCAATCACTTGTTGTATAGTTTTGGGAGTTGGTGACCTGTCACGCATTGATAAGTTAGTTAAGAGAGATTCTTCCATGCCTGTGACGGTAACACATGCCATAAAATGAGCGAACACAGCACGAGACTGTACATGTTGGACTCCTAGCAGGAGTACCAAAGAAGCGAAAATATTCATAGCTGCAGCAGAAGGAACGTGGCTAAAAGCATTAATGAGATTGTAGAAGCCTCGATACACAAGAACCCCCTGACAAAATCATGAACGAATGACTGAAAAGAGACGAAAGGAAAGAATGAATGACGCTTGAACCACACTAGACGAGATCCGGAGGAGGCTAGGGACGCCTTAAATATGCATTTTGTGCAACACACATCAGCTCCCTTCTGCTTCTACTTGCAAAGTATCTTAACATCCTACACAATCATATTACGTAAAAAGGATACAAGGCTGTGTGATTGTGGTGCTGAAGCTGTTGCCGACTTTCAATGCATGACCATGAATCAAGGGTTTGCACTAGTCCATCTCATTTACTTTAGCTTCATGCATCGATATGCGAATTCGGCAAGACCTAACACATGGGTTTTCCGATTGATGCCAAGGAGAAAATTCGGATAGTAATCACTCTCAGTTGGATTGTGTCCAATAAGCGGTGGTCGGGTGGACAGGAGAGCGTTGCCACTTGGACCACTAGTTGAGTCAAGTACCGAGTAAGTAGGTATCGCACTTGTCTTTCCGCTTGTAAATTTGATATTGAATGACTCGAAGACGACTGGTCTTGCCCTCTACCCGGTCCAATGAGAGGCTCGGAAGATCAAGCCTTCGATGAGTGCCCTGGACCCGCGGACCGCGGACCACGGATACGCACCGCTAGCCGAGTGGGGTTTAGTTGTTTCACAACCTAAGTTATCGTATCGCCCTGTCACATTTCCCCACCAACGCTAGGCCCACATCATTCATAAACCCCCTTTATGGAGACCCTTGTTTGCTGTTGTAGTCCTACCGATAGATTACAGTTAATCCAAAATGTGCGCACTACAATGTAACTATCGTTTAAGGCTCTCCGTACCTGCGAAGGCCCTATACTCCATCATATGCGGGTTTATCTACCCACTCCCAATCTCCAGACGTCCAGGCAGCTACCATCGAGGCAGCTACTAAACATTGCGATGCGACCCCTTAGCCTACTTCTTCCACAAAAAATCAATTGTCTTCTCAACCACTATTATTTTGTGCGGAGATGCGGGCCCACGAAGGAAAACAAATCGCGCAAAATTCGACCGGCCGACTGCGGCGCGGAGTCGGAGTTGGAGATAGTGTGTCTTCCACCTTCCAAAAGCTCCGGGCTTCATTATCCGCATTGGTCCTAGCTCAATCGATGTTCGCAAGTAGAATACCGTGAAACCTGAGATGAACACAATCATGGTGGAATCAAGCCTGAAAGGGAGTCACAGGCATGCATAGAGGAAAGCGTGCCAGCACATGCTTGTGGCCCATCATAACCCTAACCCACCATATAAGAGTAACCACAACATCGACAGCCTCAGAGGTAGAGCTCAAAGCCCCCCTGGTTTGCTTGCATCGCATTGAGCGCCTGGCTTGCCAGTTTTGAAAGGTGTCTTTCTGTCCATTCTCTCATTCTCTCTGTTTTCAGAGTGCCATTCGTTGAATATTGTCTTTTCTGTTACCGCACACTGCATACTCTCATTTATAATCTCGGTGTTGAAACGTCCGCATCATACTTGAAGCTTAGCACTCAACGCCTGAGCAGCAATGGCTACTCCAGCAGTCCTCCGACAGTGCTTCTTAGGGCTCGTTGCCCTGGTCTGCTTGTTCCTCGTACACCAGAGCTTTCAGGTGGCTGGGAGTAGTCGACTGAGCCTCCAAAGCCGCAATGCGGAGTCGGTTACTTCATCACTTGGGTGGGCAGAAGCTTCGAACGTGAGCATCGCTGAGCGCTATTATCAGGTTCAGAGCCGTGACGAAGATAAGAAAGACCCGCTCACCCTCGAAGGAGCCATTGTGAAGGGACGCGGACTCTACTGTCGCAGCGCAGGCGTGTGGACGCTCAGCGATGAGCCCAACCCCAGCTTCACATATGCCGATCTTGAGGAATATTATTCAGAGCAGTACTACGATACATTCACTAGCGAAGAATCGATTGGACCAGCGCTGCAAGCGCTGGGATTGCCCTCCACTGTCTCTACCAACGGAGGAGCAGATGGCAATCTTGTCGGCAAGCTTTTCCATCAGAATGAAGGACCAATACAGGTAAGGGGGAACCTGACCCATTTACCCTTCCTTGTTGTTGGAGGGGGGGGACGTGCCCGTTCCGGGCCTTTCTGTCTTGAAATACCTTACTTACGACTTCTACATAGACCAATATGGAGTTCGGTAATCCGATGAGTGTTCGCAGGGGGGTTATTGTGGCGGAGACGAATTGGGGACCCGCTTCGCAGAAGAAGACGAAAGTATTTCCTCCTTTGAAGCGATGGTCCGATATCGTTTTTCTCGCCTATCAGAAATTGGCGGAGGAGGGGGGCGCGATCAATGGCCTTCAGTATGTTGTGCGCACCCACGTGCTCAACGATGATACCAGAGCAATTATCCACGAAGTGTGCGGGGGGCCTCCTCCTGTCTGGCCCGGAACTACCTTCAAGATCAGCAATAAGCAATCCAAGTCAGGAGAGTATATCAACCGGGAAGGGCTTGCGCTGCTTGGTACTCCGAATGGCGGCGGAATCGGTTAGCTCCTAATCAACCATAAGCAACAATTTATGGATGGGAGAAAAACTAAAAGACCAGTCCAGGTTACAGTTCGGAGAACAACAGGTCATCCCAAGGAGGATTGGTATCATATGAGTTTCCAGCTGAAGAATCTCGCAGCTCTGCGTGGGTGAGCTGGGGGCAAAACCGACGATAGGAATACTACCCTGTTATCTGTAACGGTGCAGTGAAATGTTCATCGGCCTGGACGAACATGGCGGAATTTAAATCTATACGTTTCTGTTTCCTGACTGCTATTTAACAATCCATTCATCAAGACATGGCACGGCTTTGCAGACGGACTAATGTCATCAAGCCGCCAGACTACTCCTTGCCTCCTGTTCCTCCTGCGCCAAGCGTGCTGCAGCAAATTCGGACCACCGATAATTCCTTTCTCTTCCATCTTTCAGTCTTGGCATGTAGTCGACCGGGACCTGGCTCCCGTCAGGACCCGTAACAATAGGACAATTCTTTCTGGTTTGCCCATTACTAGGGCTTGCTGACCAAAGACCTAAGTTGTAAAGCCTCCATCGGTCCCAGAAAACCAATCCTAGTCCAAGCAGTGGTCGAGGATCTAGAAGAGAGCCTGTTTGAAACATAGCCGGACGTTCATATGCCTCATATGTCGGTAGCATCATCCATAGATTACCAATATTTCGTTCTTGCACAGCACAGATAGTGTTGCCCCATTGCCCCAAAACAGGCTTGCACGTATCCTCCTCGGGAGACGGGAGTGGTGGGGAACTCCATACCCCGAAGCTGCGGAAAGCACTGGCTTGAGAATCATCGCTACCTTGAGGATCCTGGCGCCTGAGAGACAATGCATCGGGCAGCTCCAGCCATAACCGTAGGTAAAAGCTATCGAGGTTGGCACTCAGGGGTTCCGATAGGTTTGGATGGGGACAAATATCCTGCAGACACTCCGACACAGCCCGCATCTCATCCCCGGTGGGATCTCCGTCTTGCGTTGGCCCGCGTTCAGGCCTTTCGGAAGGGATATCAAAGTCCGAGACTCGTAGATAGAGATGGAGCTCGCTGAGAGACCAGCCTATCTGAGGGACGACTTTCCAAACATCCGAATACAGCTGTAGATGCCACAAGGCTCGGTAAACACGGTACTCTTCCGCCCACGATGGAGGACCGGCCTCTTGCGGTGGGTATGGCTCTTCCCCCTTTAGCCTCCCGGCCGCATCCCTTCCGTAGCCTATTGGTTGCACCGCTCGGGTGCGTGCCAGAAAGGTGGTTAAGCAGGCGCAGGCCAGTCGCTGGATGTTGGCTGCAACCCGGACCATGTCCCGCAGCACAGTGCCGGTCACAGAAGTGGGGCTCAGAGGTGAGGAGTAGTCCTGCGCCATAAACTCGGCTAAGGTCAGATTGCATCCGGAGGTAAAGGGCAAGCTCCGGAGATCCGCACACATCCGGAAAAACCGGTGCAGTTGATGGCTCATCATGGGATTTGTCCGTAGGATGTTCTCAACGAGGTAAATGGCATCGGAGTGGGCTTGATCCGAACCTCCCTCGGGGGTGAACAGTGCGGCGATGCGTGGCGAAACTCGGATCAGGCTGTCAAGCCCAACCCAATCAGCAGCGTCCTCGCTGATTGAAGATAGGAGCTCATGAGGTAGGGTGCTGAAGGGGTCCATATTTTAGGGGTGAAAAGAGCAATTCGGGTATAATTGACGGTACAAAGCTGATGATAAAGGTAGAAGAACAGTTCAGATGCTGCTGCCTTGGCTCTTAAAAAGGGCCTGCAAGCCAAGATAAAGCCAAGAAAACATTAATTCACACTATCGAAAAAGAAAAGGGGACTTGTTTCAGCCCCGCTCTCATGAAGGGTGGGGCGGAACCGGACAATTTCCGGCCCCTGCACAACGGTGGATGTTGCCGATATTTCCGCCACGAGTGGCGTTCTGTGACACTGTTCCTGGCGTGCTCGGTTCCTGGACTTCGCTTGAGCCTTTGGTACTCTTCTTTTCTGGCACTAACGTTAGTGCCTACCCCCGTTTACTGTATATGCTAGTAATACTAGTGGTGAAATTTCTGGATAGCCGAACTCGGGAATCAGATTGAACATGCCTATGTGCTGCACACATCAGCCCCTTTCTTTACTGCCAGAGCTTTCATCACTTATTAGGTGTCTTTCAACCGACCCCGCTCTGTCGAAATTCTCTTCTTCACTTTCATCCCTAACCATGATTTTTCGTGCCACAGGCCTTGCTACACTACTAGCTCTTGGAGCCAGTGCTTCGGTCTCACCACAGCCGCGAGCTCCTTGCACTCATTCCGTTATTGAGGATACCATTTCATTTTTCAGTCATGGGGCGGTTGCAGTCTCTCGACAAGTGACCAATGCCTCTGCTTGTGCAGCTCAATGTGCCACACTGTCCACGTGTCAAGCCTGGCTATACTCCACCTCGGGGCAGGAATGCCAACAGTATCGCGAGCAGCCCGTCTCCAAGGACTATAACCCGCTATTCGTGTCCGGGAGCTGCCAAAGGCCAGCAGCAGTCTCGCCGGCCTCATCGATTGCCCTTCCCTCTGCCTCCTCCGGAATCCCGACCCCGTCTCTATTTGCAGTGAGTTTTCTGAGATTTTTCTTCTTTTAATCCTCTTATCAATGCCTATATCTCCCTACTAACATGACAAATTCTGTAGTCACAAAGACCTGAAGAGTCGTCTGCTGCGATCATCAAGCGCGGGCCTACTTCGCATCATCACTATACTCATCGTCACGGTCATTCTCCTCACTGAAGAGGCCCATTACCTAGCGTCGGCTTGATTTGGCTCAATGCACAATTTTCTGCAAGTTATCTTCAGCTATTTCTCTTCAGCTCTTGGTTAAAAAGATATTCTTCTAAGTGTAGCTTTGCAGTGTCCGACTGTATCTGATGCATGTAAAGTCAAAAGCCTTCGTAGGATACCAATCAATCTAGCTACTTGCATGTGCATTGTACACCAGAACAAGCTTTCTCTCTATATGATAACATTATTTGTGTAGGCTATTTGTTGATAATCCTGCAACTTCACTAGCTAGAGTACTTGCTGCTCGCTGCATACTCATCTCTAGGGACTTTACTTTAGTCTTATGCACCAAACACATCTCTTTTCGAGTTTATTTGAAGATCTTGAAATAAAAATATTTCAAGATGGATTTCTAACTATAATCTACTACCGAACCTTTTACACGTACAGTCCCACACTAATCACAGTAAAAATAAATAAAAGGTAGTAACATAGCTCAAGAGTATAAATAGCTCCCTGAGTTTTGTGTAAAGTACCGGCTTCCCACCAGCTGCGTTGCTTGGCTCCCTTCACTATAACACGCACTGCTTCCACCCCCTTCTACTTGAGAGATTTCTGTGATGATCGTGCAGGATACCCTTGCTCAATGCCCGAAACCCTTTACGCGACCCCGACAATCAGCCATGACCATGCCAGCTCCAGATCGCGGGCCTATTTATTCTCTCCTGGTGGGCAAATGCCAAACTTGTCGCAGACTACCTACTCAAGAGGGGCTGCAATTCCGCGACGCTGCTTCCCGGGTGAGGACATGCTCTGATGCTTGCAGGACACTGCCCTATGCTTCGGCGCGACGGGTTCTGTTTTGTGGAAAAAAGGTACGCTGGCGCCACTCTTGGATGTTGGCTTTTCCATGTAGAGGATTGGATGTGATATCGTGGTCTGTAGGCGACTTGGGTACCTGAACGTAACGGTATTTAGCTAAGACATCGATGAGCAATCTGACTGAAAGGAGATGAGTTACCACGAGATTAGTAGTAGCTGGGCTCCCTGTGGATGGCTTTTGGAGTGGTGCGGCCAAGACCCTGGCCGCAAACACTGCTGAGAAGGATCAAGGAAGTAAAGAGCTTCATGTTATGATGACTAGGATGAATGTAGATTCCAAGCGCAGTTTTGGAAGGGCGACACCGGTCTGCTTATACATATGCAGCTTCGGTTCCTAACATAATGTACGTCACGGAGTATGGCTAGCGGAGGATATATGCGGGGTAGCGGTGATGTTAATTACCTAGCTTGAAGAGTATGTCCGTCCTATAGACAGAACATTCTATACGATTCGAGGCTCCTGAAAGGCTCGTTTATGTATGTGAAAGGGGTACAGCCGCTGATCCAGAGTTGATTGCGGCAATTATTATACTTCCTCAAACACGTTAGATATGACCTGTCATATGCTGGTCGGCGGGATAGATGTAACAGCGGCGTCTCCGTACAGAGTTGGAATTCGTAGTTTAAGTCTTCTCTGGAGATTAATATACAGAATATCAAATCAAGGCATTTTAATAGAACATCTGACTATTCCTCTTCAAAGAATGTCCGATAATAATCTAGCTGATGCCATATATATATTTACAACCGGACTACTTTAATCTCGTTCGTCATAAAATCTTTTACAATTTCTGCTTTATCATCTGAGAACACACTAAATCTAAAAGAAAGCCTTTGTCTTAGGACAAAAAGAAGATTGACCTTGTGTAGATATAAGGGATAAATTAATATAATATACAGTATAAAAAACAGCTACTGTGCAGTAGGTTATATAAGAAAAAGCCAAGGGCCTATACTTTATGTGAAGCCCTGCGCATGTCATAATTCTTGTGTTATTTCGTGATGATACAGCTCTGTAGCGGTATTATGTTAATCCCTACTAGCGCTTGTTACTAGCCTTGTAATTTATGTATGAGACTCTTCCGCATTTAAGGATGTACTCATCCCGTGTTTATTTATTTTAAAACCTTGTTTGTCTAAGCTATTTATTAACAGCCCTATGTTCCCTAGCTGGCGAGGCTCTGGATGCGTCCGGTCTCGAGGCCGCTGATAAACAAGAAAGTATGAAAAATTATTTTATGAGCGATAGATAAGGATTCCGAGTATTGTCTGCGAAGAGCGGGAGGGTCTATTTACCTACAGCTCTATATTCCTATATAGATATGAGGTCGAGGAGAATTCATGTAGGCTAGTGGTGAAAGTAACCTAGAATATCGCTATGCTATCCGAAAGATGTCATTCATCAATATGGGTCCCTTGTAGCCTATCCACGTACGCAAAAGGGTTGTCGGCCGTGATCCAGAACATCGTCCTAGAGATCTTGTGCTGATACTTGATAAGCAGATCTGCAAGCTTTTCATCAACTGATTCAGGTCTGTTACTCGTATGTGATATGCCGGGGCCGTATTTGCATGTTCCAGTTGTGTAGTGTGGGACCCGTATAAGGGTGGGTGTAGTGGATAAGATCCAAGGATCTCATAGATGTATGAGATATCATCGTACATGGGTCTGGACTAGTGATGGAACTTTCCAGGGAGAGGACGGCACATGATCTTGCGAGCCCTATGTGACCATGTTCGTTGGAATTGTGTCTTCACTCTGCTGTTCACCTATCGTCCAACAAGGTGACTCAGCGTGGCAATGGACACGATCAAAATATGAAGCGGTAAGTCCTTTATCTTTCAGCCTTACTCAAGTTCGGAGGTATTTTTTGCTAAATGGGTTTATCACGATGGCAAGTTCCACCTCCGACCTGAAGGCCGATCCCGCAAACGAGCTGTCGGTGGCTGAAGCTTGCCGATCGCATTTTCGTAATTTCGACTATGTTTTCCGCATAAGTCATGGCAATTGTGGATAAAGAGGCCCCAAAGCCAAGCGATCACTGGCGGTGTGTAAATCTCATCGCTACTGATGACTTCAATTAGGACAAGTCCAGAGGCTGTCCATAGATGACTCGATGAACTGTGGGTTGTTCGTTCAGCTGGCCGAGCACCCCACACTCCACAGCAGCCCATTTGCTCGGCAATGGAATCATCAATCGAAGCTCACAACAAGCTAGTCTCACTCAAGCCAGATATTGAATCTACATAAGAGATCCCCACACCGACTGCTGCTGCAGGTCATCGATTGATGTCTGGGCCGATTCCACTTGACGCACCTCTCCGTCTTGACATCTATGCACGCATGCCCAACCATTCCTGTCGAACGAATAAGATCCGATTTTCCAACCTGCACGCATAACAAGGACTGTAATACATGCGGGGGCACGGGGGAGGATGCGGGTGGGGAGGCAGAATATTATTCAGATTGAACGATAGAGCTACAGCCATTAATCCAAGACCATGTGAGGCACCGAGGAGGGGATGACCGTCCGTTTGTCATGATTGATCGAGAAAACGACAGGGAGCTTGTTTAATCATGGAGGTCACTCCCTCGCTGTCGCGTATGTATGCTCAGGGAACCTTCCTATTCTACTACGATAAACCATGTATTTAGCACTAGGCTTCTACGAGGTGACATAAAGGTGAGTTTTACACCGCGATAGCTTAATTTACAGTGGGCTCATGATAGAACTCCAACAATACGCTTCAAGGCATAGCCCGTGCACCTGGACATATCAATGCATCAGCTGATGTCCAGAGAGACTACAGCACTCGATCCCTGCCTGGGATGTTTACTGGCATCCGAGTATCCGTAGAGGGAAACGGCGCAGCCAGGAAGCCGACTGCAAGACCGCTGATAAAGAAGACAGTAGGAAACTTCATGTTGCTCGTAATGAATAGAGGTCTGGATGGAGTACAGTCTCTGAGAAGAGTGGGAAGAGACGTCTTGAAATAATACTCGGTTTCCTGGACCTGCTGTGGGGAATGCACGACCAGAGGGGAGAACCCATTATGATTGACAATTAGACTCGGTCCAACCTGTGGAGGAGGCAAGGGTGGCCGATCATCGATATAGGACATTGTAAGGTTTAGCCATTACTCGCACGCACCTATCGTACTGCGTATTGTTGTACATAGCGCGTAAGCCATAGCTGAACTTTGATGACAAATTAATCTCAGTATCATGGGACCGTCACAGAATGTTTCTGCACGTCAAAGGGGTATGCACGCCGATCTAGAGCTCGCTGCGGCAAATGCGAGATTCAATGCCCGGCGATCCGATGCGCAGTCATCTCCTGACATATTTCAAGTTGGATGATCGAGTCTATCATAATGTGATCAGCGAGATCGCGGGAAAGATGCCAAGCGATATTGGTAAAGTCGTCCTCGTACCCTAGATTTTTATCGCCGCACCTCGGTATTTCTCTTGCTTTCTCTCTCCCTCTCTTCCTCTCTCTCTCTCTCTCCGCATGGCATGCTTAGAGACATAACCTGCCAGTACATACACTAGGCCATCTAGACAAGACGGTGACCACCACTAAGCCAACTACAATCCGAGGCCTCATGCTACCCCGCCCTACTTCAAATACAGAAGCCAAATTCGTCGCAGACTACCCCGTCAATGGGGCCTGCGATTCCTCGACGCTGCTCCCGTGAGGAGGTCGTGGTCTTCTGCTCGGAAGTGAGCGCCCTATCGGCAAGGGGGGGCGGTAGGTTAACTCCAGGCAAGGCGCCAGAGATGGTACCCACGAGCTACTCGTTGCATCCGGACACATCAGTACTCCATAACCAAGGGACGTTCATGCAAATGCGATCACGGGAGGGGTCACTTACCGGGGGATCGATGGCATCGACGCTTTCCATGGCGGAGTTCTGATGTGGTGCTGCCAGAACGCCGGCTAGGAGACCGCTGATGAGGATTAGGGCATTAGGGAACTTCATATTGCCAGCGAAAAATAGAATCTTCTGATGCTGGCCTCTCAAATGGTGGCGAGGGAAGGGGTGCAAGCTCGGTTTAAATAAGGTCGCGGGGCCTTTAGTGAAGAGCGGCTCAGGGGCGGCACTGTATACTTTCAGGGTATCGCCAATGAGACTGGTCAAGCACAGTATGTACTGGGGTATGCACCAATGATATCCTCTTGACAGAAGTCAAGGCCTTACAAACCTCTTACATAGAATCATGGGCGCTGATCTCCAGCCCCTGACCGCGGATCGCGGCGCAGCGATCTCGGGCACCGTCTCCCAAAACAGTCGAAAGTTGGTGATATATCAGTTCCCACCCACTTGTTGCGTTTTCATGGATGTGGATTCACAAAGCGCGAAGCAACGGATAGTTATCTTCCCTTTTATAAGCGGATTCAGGGCTTTGAGCAAACCACACAGCAGAGTAGTAAGACTACCTGGATTTGCTTTGCTTGCTATGACGCTTTTCTAGAAGCAACTTGATTTACTACGTATCGATTTCTTTTTCCAAGCAATATTCTGTCACAGTTCCCGTTAGGGCTCCGAGGCCGGTAGCTGAGCGATGATCGAATGGGTTCCACCTGGGAGTCGTGTTCTCACTGAGACTTATGTAGAACTCACTCAGGGCCTTGAAGAATATATCAGTTCTAACATTCTCAATACAATCATGATTATGTGTAATGGTCAAGATATTGATTTTTGCTGTGCACACCGGTAGCCTGATTGGCCAGCTACTAGATGTATGAGCACTAGTAAGTTACGTACTGTATCGTATGGGAGTTGAATGTGGAGCTGTGTATCTTACATGACGTGAGAATACCGGCAAAGCTTTGTAATTTACAGCTCCTGAGCTCCACCGCAGCGGGGCCGGGTAAGCGAGCGGAGCCTGGTCTGTGCTGAATGCTTGTTTCTTCCCTTTTTCTCCCTTGAATCATGCCCTTGATGGGATCCATTGACGTCATATCAGGAAGAACATCTTATACCTTCCCCTACCGACTTCTTGAGAGATGGGCTGCCGTCGGTCTTATTCCAGCTGGTGCATCATGCTCGTGCACAGGACGCATGTCTACTTATGATATTTCAAGTTCAAGAATTGACCATGCCCATCCTTGACTATGTGATGGGATTTGTCGGTGTGGAGATTCGGGGGTACCGGGAGCTAGCTCTATCGCACTCACTGTTTCACATTTCTACATCCAGGCTGTTGTCATATGATTTCCTTAGCCCTCCATCTAGACCCTCAAGTATCGTGGTTCATATTCCACGCAGGCTAGGTCTCACTGGCAGAGGTACTTGATGTGCAGCCTGAATCATCAGGCTTTTGAGGCGTTCTTGCTAAATGATTGCTCAATGCACCTGACAGAACTCCGTAGCAGTCCCATTTCTAACAACATTGGTCAAGTAGCAGACTTTTTTCTAGATCATGTGCCGGGCTGAGGTCCCTTCCACTACAGTGTGATGTGTCAGAGACGAGGAGCGGAGTCTGAGCGGGCTGTCCTCGTCTTCTTCTGCCGCAGTCTTGTGCCTAACATATTACTTGTCCCGCTCATTATGTGACAGATGGTATCCGCCCGCAGACAACAATTGGAAGCTACATTAGCGCATTCTGGATACTAAGCAACAGTTCAACTACAAGCTTTTCCCATGAGAAGAATCAGTAATTGACCATTCTCCAACGAGTACTAGCCCAGTGTCCTCGCCATCACGATAATCATCCGTTGACAATCCTCACAAGATTTCACACCCGATTGACTTGTGTTCGATTCGCACGGATATTGGAGATCCACTAACAACACAACCAAGCTCACGATTCACCCATTACCAATGCCAACCTAGCGCTACTACTCCCAACCACCAACCTACATCCTCCCCCTAACCTCCCCGGTACCTCCCCCACCCTCAGCCAACCCGTCCACCGCCCTAATCAACGCATAAACCGTCTCCAGCACAGGCACATCGACCCCAACCCTCCTCGCCCGCCCCACCACCGTCCCAATAATGACATCCACCTCCATGCGCCGCCCCAACTCCCGATCAGTCTGCATACTCGTCCGCACCGCCCCGAGCCCCTGCATGCGGGCGATCTGCTCCTCGACCAAGGCCTCGCGCAAGGCCACGCCGGACGCGTGCGCCACGCGCACCACCTCGCGCATCAGCCCCTTGGTCAGCGGCAGCGCCTCCTCCGAAGAGCGCAGCCAGGCCTGGCAGTCCTGCGCCGTCAGGGTGGTCAGCGTGTTCCAGGCGCAGTTCCACATCAGCTTCTCCCAGCGGGTGCGCTGCAGGGCGTCCGGCGCGAGCGGGGTCAGCGGCGTCGGGTGCGGGTTCGCCGGGGCGCTGAGGAGGTCGATGAAGGTCGAGAGACTCGGGACTGCGGAGGGGTTGGTGGGCGGGTAGAGCCCCAGTTGCGTCGCTTCGGAGGTCGTGTGCGTTGTTGTTCCCGGGGTGGGCTGGTGGGCTCCTACCCATGTCTTTCCATTTCGAAGATCAGTATCGGTATCGGTGTGTCAGGTGAGAGAGATATTCGGGCGGAGTGTGGGATCAGATTGCAGTATGTGGGACCAGCCGGAGAACGGTAGGGAGTATACGCACCACGCACGAGATGATCGGGTTCTCGGCATACAAGCGCCGGAACGGCTCTTCGTTGCCTACCCCGTTCTGGATGATCACGATCGCGGTGCGGTCCGTGATGGCTGGCGCGAGGGCGCGGGCGACGGTGTCCACGTCGATGGCCTTGTTCGTGCAGACGACGTAGTCGAATGGGGCGGAGTCTGGGGTGATTTCTGAGGGCGAGCGGATTACTGCGCTGTCCTTAGCATCCAGGTGGTTTCCCTCTGGGCGGGTGGTGAATGCTTACCGCGGTCCGGGTGGAAGCGGTGCTCGCCGTGGTTGGCGCTTTTCAGCAGGATGCCCTATTCGTTGTGAGACATTTGTATTCAGCGAGTTTCATTTCAGCGAGAAATTCGAGAAAGGGGGTGTACATTCTCCTTGACAGCCCCGTAATTCGAGCGAGCGACGACCGTCAGACGCACGCGGGGACAGCTGCGCAGGATGAAGGCGTAGAAGGAGCCGATGCTAGTTTTGAGTCAGTCAATTCCTGTTGGTTCGGGGATGGTGGATGCTCACGCGCCGAGGCCAAAGAGGAGGACTTCGATCTTGTCAGACATTGTGAGATTGTTGTCCAGCACAGGTGCAGACACCTGCAGGAGACGTAAAAGATATGGGGTTGACTGGGGCGGGGAAACGTGGGGGTGCATGGTAAGGAGCAACATCCCGTGCGGGGGTCGGTCCAATTCCGGCGGGTTTCTGTCCGAGTGAGCTGACATCCCACGTTGACCCATTGCCCCTTTGCCCCTTTGCCCCTGGACAATGAGTTACTACTAGCTGACAGGCTCACCAGTTCTAAGACACATTGCCACCCGATTCAAGAATAAACAGGCCACAGATTGACCCAATGGTTGAGGAGCATAATCTAAACTTCACTGACACCAAATAGACCGACCATAAATCCTACATCTACATCTACATCAACCAACCCTCACTTCACCCCAACAAACCGAGGTATATATACCAGCCCCGTGCCTCAAAGCCCCCAGCTCCCACCCCAATTCCAACCCGTCAACCCCGTCACCCCCCTCAACCAATCCACAGAATCACCTTAAAACATTCCGCACCCCCGTCTCCATCCACAACTTCGTATACTGCTTATGCAACCAAAACACATGCGCCGGCATGGGCGGCGCCCCAGTCCCGTCCGCACCCGTGTCGTTCTTCGTCCCCTTGAAGAAAACACTCTTCAGCCCGAACTCGGCAACGCCCTCCTCGGGCTTCACGACCGCCGAGATCTCAAACAGGCCGTCGGAGTCGCGCACCCCGGTCTTGCGGGGCGAGTCGCCGCACCGCACGACGATCCGCTCGGGGGTCTTCTCGACGACCTCGAAGTGGTCGGTGATGCGCGTGCCGACCTCGTAGGTGGCGGAGCGCAGCTGCTCCCGGGTCCAGAGGTCCGTGGCCGTGGCCGGGGATTCGTATTTCTTGGAGAGGTAGCGGCGTTGGTAGGCGTATCCTAGCATGACCAGAGGGTTTAGTATTGTAGGCGGAAGGATCGGGGATTGGGAAAAGGGGGAGGGAAGGGGGGTGATGCGCTAGCTAGGCACGTAGCAAGCCAGCTGGCGCAGGGAAGGAAAACTCACCCCAGCCACTCCACACGCCCGCGCAGAACGCCTCGGTCAATTTGCCCTTCTTCTCCAGCAGCGAGGGGTTGATGTCGGCCAGCCGCACGCGGCGGACGCACAGGTCGTGGCTCGTGGGGTTGTTGTGCGGGTTCAACGTCTGGTAGCCGGGCGTGTGGAAGATGGGGTCGGTGGTGGGGAGGGGGACGAAGGTGGAGTTGCGCGTGGCGAAGAAAAAGGCGCCCAGGGTGGCGGTGCCGCCGATGGTGGTGAGTTTGAGGGCGCGGCGGATGAGGCCCATTGTGTGTGTTGTAATGCGCGAGAGTGGTGATTGGGAAGGTTGTACGGTGGATGGTGGTTTTGGTGACGGTGACGTTGACGGTTGACGGGAGGGAAGGTTGAGTGAGATCATCGGTTGCGGGAGCGGAGGAGCGCCTCGGATCGGATTTACTCCGGTTGCGGTAGCCGGATATCTTTCAAGTACTGTACATCCAAAGAGGTCAGCTGTGCTTTGTCTACCTAGTATTGAATCTTCAGTGTTTCGATCAGAATAATGTACAATGCTGAGAAAGAGCTAAAAGGACAATCTCTTTTGATCGAATGATTGAATTACTAGCATTCACCATGGTATCTCTCTATCCCGGACAGAAACAAACCAACCCACCCAGAATCTGTACAGAGCAAACAAAATATACTACTAAACATCGAAGAACCAAAGCCTCATTCTGTCCCTCCTCAACACCTAAGGTCTGGGCCACCTCCCCATCCAATCCCTAACATAGCGTCCCAGAATCCCATCCTCGACGATTCTCAATCTCCCATTCCGCAGGGTAACACTATCCCTCTCCGCCCGGTCCGTACAGAACCCAGGCTCTTTTCTGCCGTCTGCATACATCGCCTCATAATGCCCCACCAACTTGACCGCAGGGTTCACCCCCTCCTCCCCGCGCGCCTCGCTCTCCCGCAACCTTTCCAACCACTCCGCAAAACCCACCGTCCGGAACCCATCGAACCCGCACCTCTTCAGCCCCTTCAGCAGGTGTTCCCACTCGAACCGATGCGGATTCGTGAGGTTATACACGGAATCATCATCCTCCGGCCAGCCATCCACACTCCCCGCCTCGGAATTGACGGAGGAGAAAGACCCCCGCCGCGACGCCGGCGGCGTATGCGAGCACACGGCGCGCGCGATCTCCAGCACGGCGGCGACGAGCTTATCGACCGGCAGCCACGCGCACTGCACCCCGTCCAAGCGCGGCAGACAGCCCAGCGTCAGCGCGGAGCGGAGCATCAGCGGCAGGGCCTCGGCGTCGTTCCACAGCCCACGCTTCGAGTGGCCCGACACCTGGCCGATGCGGAGCGAGAACGCCCGCGCGGCCGCGGTGCGCCGCGCCGCGCTGACCATCCGCTCGCCGATCAGCTTCGAGCGCCCGTAGCCCATCTCCAGGGCATCGGAGAGATCGGCGACCGGGGATTCCGGGACGAGGGATTGCGGGGAGCCCAGGGCCGTGGAGATGGAGCTGCAGTACAGTAATACGGCGGGGGCGGGGAGGGCGACGCTGAGGGAGAAGCGGAGGAGGTTGTGCAGGCCGCGGAGGTGGGGCTCGAAGGCGCTGAGCGGGAGGTTGAAGTTGACGGGCCATGCGGTGTGGATGACTAGCGAGACGGAGCGGAGCATTTCGTGGTAGACGTGCGGGTCGAGGCCGAGGTGCGTCTGGTCGAGCGCGCTGGTGAGGGCGACGATCTTGTGCGTGCGGAAGGCTGGCAGGGTGAGGTGTTTTTGGGATAGGGAGGCGAGGATCGAGGCTTTCGCGTCGCTGCGCCGCGTCAGGCAGTAGACGCGCGAGACGGTGTCGTCGTTGACGAGCTTGTAGAGCGTGTGCGCGCCGATCGAGCCCGTTGGGCCGGTGAGAAGCTGGTTGCGCACATGTTAGCGCTGGCGCACGGGGGATAATAATGCTGCGGGGCTGGGTTAGTACTTACAACGCTCCGGGTGTTGGACACCTCCGCCGGACGAGGGGTGTGCACCGGGAACCCCAACGAGTATTTCTCGATCAGCGCCGGCATCATGGCCAGCTCGTCTTCGTCTGCGGCCACCCCCTCATCGGAGTGCCCGCTCTGCGCAGCGGAGATGCACTCCGCCAGACGGGCGATGCTGCCGGTCTCGAACACGATGTTGTGGCTGATGCTCCGGCTGCTCGCGAGGCGGAAGTCGCGCAGGATCAGCCGGCGCAGATGGATGGCCTTGAGGCTGTCCATGCCCTCGGCAAAGAAGTCCGTCTCGAGGTCGAGGCGGGGCATGGCCAGCTCCTCGCGGCAGAGACGCAGCAGGTGCTCCTCCGTGGCCTGCAGGTCCAGCTGCAGGGTGCCGTGCGCGTCCTGCTCCATGCGGTTGTACATCCCCTCAATCACCTCGGCGTATCGCGAGTACACCTGGGCGCGAATCATCGACCCCTTGTCCGTGCGGGGCACGACCCGGTCGGCGGCCAGCACCACGACCATGTCCCGGGAGATCTGCGAGAACTGCTCCGCGTGCGCGTTGGCTTCTTCCACCGTGGGCCAGACGAGGTCCAGGAACTCTGCGTCCGAGTATCGGTGCGAGCCGTCCGCCCGGAAGACGAGCAGGCCCGGCACCGACTGGCTCACGCCCACCACCACCGCCTCGTCGACCAGTGGGTTCTGCTTGATGCGGCCCTCAATCGGAAGCGGGAGGACCTTCTCGCCGTTCACCAGCGTGATCCGATCGTCGATGCGCGAGACGTACTTCCACCGGTCGGGGATGGAAGGGTGGGGCGTGAAGACGTCGCGCGAGTGATACGAACCAGGCGGATCATCGGAATTCGAGGCGGTCAGGGCGGGATGTCCCTGGAGGTAGACGACTTCGTACAGCTCATCGCCGATGGGCTTCATCCAGATGAAGGGGCGGATGTTGTCGAAGAACTTCATGTAGTTCCAGTAGGGATCGTCGGCAGGGCGGGAGATCGACTCGGCCACTAGTCCGGCTTCCGTTCTGTACATCATTGATTATCAGCAACCGCAAACAAATCGCTGTCGAAAAAAAAAATAACTCACAATCCGAAAGACCCGCCAAACTTCACCCCCTCTGCGACCAACCGATCGCCCAGCTCATCCGGACAAGGGGCGCCCCCGTACGTGACCGAGTCGCAGCGGCGCAGGACCTGCAACCCCCGAGGACTGTCGACCAAGAGCTGCAGGAGGTACGGTACGCCCTGCACGGACTCCGGACGGGCGGCCTCCAGGGCAGCGACCGCCGTGCGGGCTGTCAGCGGAAGTGAAGCGTCCCACATGTACGCGGTGCGGCGCATGTACATGGCCTGGAGCGCGGTGGAGAGCCCGTGAAGATGGAACCACGGAAGGGAGTTGAAGGAGGTGTAGCCCGGGCCACGCATGGGATGCGTCATCAGGGCCTTGTGGCTGAGGTACAGGGGTTTGGGGTTGCCGGTCGAGCCGGAGGAATGCAGGATCAGGGCGATCTTGTGGATTTGCGTCTCCGGGCTGCGGCTGCGGCGGAGCACCAGCATGGCCGGTTCCTCGACATCCTCGTCCAGCGAGGGTCGTTGCACGATGGGGCGACACGCCACCAGCTTCAGGCGCAGGATCTCCCCCATCGTGGTGCGGATGTTGGGGGCCTGGCCGTACAGGATGGTGTCACAGCCGACCATGTCGAGCAGGGCCACGCAGGCGGATGCCGATAGACGCGGGGACAGCATCATCACGGTGTAGCCGAGTCGGCTCAGGGCAAAGAATGTGACGACCATGTTCAGGTCGGAGAGCGTGAACAGCGCCACGATGGCGCCATCCTGGCGGGGCTGTCATTCGGTCAGCGTTGCTCGACCAGAGAGAATCGGTGACTTACTGGCTTGAAGCCATAGTCCATCAGCGTGCACACGGCTTGATCAACCATGCAATCCAGGTCCAACCCGGAGAAGTACTCGTACTCCACCGTATCGTCTTGGGAGGGTTTGGGGTAGGCAAGGATAGGATGCTGGATGGGGTCAGCTGCCCGTAGACGGATCAAGTCATCCAGCAGATGGAGACGACCGAAGCGGGCGATCAACTGTTCGGGCGAAGAGGGCTTGAGCCTCTCGTGGGAGGTCCCTTCATGATGAGGGATACCCATGGTGAAGGATCAGGGTGGTGTAGTGGGTCAGAATGATTTCGAAGAGGTATCACCGGGCGCGACATGAGTCTTTTTAAACCTGAGGACGGTAGATGCGCTGTGTAAGAGACATGGAACCCCGTCTCCGTACTGCCACTCGACGGAGCCACTTCGATACCCCGATTTGGGAAGTTCACACATCCTTCAGGTTAGTAGCGGTAACTATACCAGTGGCAAGCCGGCTATGAAACCGACCCCTATAACTCCCGTGGCATCATAGATCCGAAGCGGTGAAATTTGGTATGCGGTCTGAATCAGGACTGGCTGTGGAGGATTTTCTTTTTTCGTATTTTGCCTTTTTTTTTTTTTTTTTTTTTTTTAATTTTCCTATTTTTTACCCTTGCTCTGATGACCATGACGTGGGTCGGGGGGAGATGACGAGGAGAGGAGGGGAGAGTAGTGGAGAGTGACTGAGTACTCGTACTCCATAGTGCCGGCGCAGAAAGAGAAGCTCAAGCCCTAACTCTAACCCATCGCACGGGCCCAGATCGGGCCCAGCCCCATTAAGCACGATCGGGACGAGTCGCGTACTGACCCTATTTACCCAGTCTACTAGCAGTTCCCGTCGGTCAGGGCAGGTATCCGACTACTGAGGGTGATGGATGGCCGGTCACACTGCAGCGGCGACTGCACGAGCGGGTTGCCAGGCGATCGCCAGTGATGATGAAGGAGTTGCGTGAGACTGCATGATGCCGTCCACCTTTTTCTTTCTCGACCCTCGTCAACCTGCATCTAGAAAGAGGGAAGTGGCCAGGATGCGCCCAGGATGTGACCAGGATGATGCTCCAGTCACCCAGGTTGTCGGCTCCAGGAACCTGGTTTCCCCCGGCCCTCCATCAGCCATCCAAAAAGCCCCACGGATCGATCGACGATCAATCTGGTTTTTTTCTTTTGGTGCCTAAAATGATGATGCTTATTACGAAAATTTATTACTTTCTCTGTCCACAATATCTCTCAGCACAGTGGGGAAATATGGTTCAGCCCAAGGGGGGCAGAAGAGGGGGGAAATGACAGATGTCTGCCAATGGAAGGTGAATCGCGGTGCGGTGGCAGGCAAGCGGGATGTGAGGGGAGACACAGGCCCACTGTTACGGGAAAGTCATACTGCGACAAGAATTAATGAATGACTGGTGTCTCCGTAACTGAATTCATCCTTGTCCACAAGCTTCCTTTTTAGCTTTGGGTTTTTCCTTGAATAGAAATTCAGACCACAAGAAATTTTGATGGTCCACTGGTTCGGTGGAGCTGACGGAGTGGCCGTGTGGCGAAGAGCTTACCGACCAAGCTGAAGAAACTCCACTTTGACTGGAAGAGGTCCACGGTTTATTCGGCGACACTACCGGAATTGGGCAGGGGGAGGGGAAGAAGAAGAAAATAGTTCACGCAAGTTGGCGAAAAGGCACGAACTGCGCGTGCAGATAGGTGATTCTGCAGCAAAGGCGCCTATCTGAGTGTCTGGGTGGTGGTGGGTGTTGACTAAGTCCTTTTCTGCTGCAGGGTACTTTTGGCAAGCTGAAGGAATGACAAATTCTCCGCCTCACTTTGTACGGTCCCGCGTTGTACTTTGACTCCCTTTTGTCAGTCACAGTATCGCAAAGTGACAGATCATCCCGATCCAAACTTGGACTCTGCTTTATCAAGAATTCGTCCCGGAGATGGCTCAATGGGTCAATTCTATCCGTAGATTCTCCGCCCAAGTAGGGGAGCTGAGTACGGGTGGAGACACGGCGACTATTGACTCACTCTGTTATTGGGTATCGTGCAAAATGATCGAGGATCTATCCACAGGATACTCCGTACTAAAGACAACTTGAAGGAGGTAAATAGAGCCTTGCAATCTGATTCGCTCTCAGTAATTCCCCTCTAGTATACTAGGACCCCATCGAGCCCTGAGATCTTCCGGAAAGGCTCGGGGAAGGCCCTCTTCCCGTTCCCTTCCCGCCATTATTGTCCTCAAACAATGGGCCCGACCCGTCCTTTTCCACTGGCCTATTCAATCAGCAGCGCCTTGTCATGTTTGATACTCATCACTCCTCTCAACGGTTTGCTTTCTTTTCCTTCCAGATGTCCAGGCCTCACCGATTCTTCTGCTACTTGTTTGATCCTCTTTTTTTCAGTCCGCCTGGACAAACTGATTGGATGGGGCAGGTAGGGGTAGATTCGAACCGCCACGCCCGGAAAAAGCAACAAGCAGCAGCAATATTGCGTCTTTCGCTGCATGAGCTATCCATTCGCCCAATCACTCTCTTGCAATTGGATGATCTCGTGTCGTCAGTCCTCCCCCTCCATTTTCCCTCCACGGATCATCCCTGTGTAACAGAAAAGCAAAGAGAGAAAAAAAAATTGTTCGATCCTCAGTCCCACAGACCAGGGTGGTGGTCCATCCCGGCTTCGGCATCTCAATCATCTGACTGAGAGTCCATGTCTGGGACTTTTTGACCGTCCTTTGTTCATTTCTGGACTATGGTGAAAAAAAGGAAAAAAGGTCCTACTGTAAACCCTTCCGTCGGCTTTTTCGAGAATCAACCAAAGCCACAAATCGAGGCTGGTGATGAGGCCGGAAAAGAAAAGCAACGAAAAACCTATGATTCGGCAGCATCTATCCGGGTTTATCGCCTGCCTCGGTTGCTCGTCCATCACCAAGACCATCAAGTAAGCACATGTTTAGACAAACGGAGTACCGGAGTACTGCCTTGAAGAAATCCTGAATCGCGGGGAACGTGCTGAGAACGAATCATGGAGGTGTTGACGATCTCTCAATCTGGTGGTTGCTCGCAGCTCGCTCGGTCGCTCGTTCGACTCGACTCATTTCCATCCGATTGACTTTCCAGGTGACCTGCGATCGCGACGCTATGAGCGTCTCCCCCTCCACTCAGCTGGTACAGCCCATTCGCTGCTCGCGGAGGTTGATCCATGGATATGGAGACGGGCTCCATACGAAGGAAGGGATCCATCGCGGCGGCTAAACCAACTACCAACAGACAGTCCTATCCAGGATCCCGGGATGAACTTGGGTCGTATCTCGCATGATCAGACGGGGTCCGTGGATGACCTCGTGTGAAAGGTGGAAACTCGACTCGTGCATGCATTCTCTCCGCGTGAGAGAGGGGGGAAGTTCATCTACGTGACTTCAAGGTGATGCTATCTGTGTGCGACGAGACAGAGTGACGAAACACACCTGGCGGAGATGGGCGAGGATGACGACTTGCCCGATCTTTAGATCATTCGTGCAGCGTAGATGTCAGGTTTCCGATCGTGTGCGAATGTGATACTATCTCGGCGCAGAATGACGGACACCGTCTGGACGCTGTGGCGCTGTGTGGCGCTGGAGACCCCGGGAAGGAAGACGATTGGAAGCTTCTCTCCGAAGGAGGGATTGGCATTGATAACGCCCGATGGGGGGGGTGGAATGCATCACGGTCGGATTCTTTCTGAGTCAGCTGTATCTGGCTGGTTGTTCGCCCCATTGATGTAATCCCACTCGGCTGGCGTGCAAATATACCTCAGCTTGCAGAATAGATTGAAGATACAAAGTATACTACATCACCGTAAACACCACCATTGAACCCAATGTGCTAATTCAGCTCCGAGGTATTCAGACAGAAAACCAGTTTCAACGTGCACCCATTCAACCCCCACAGAGATAATCCCTGTCTTGCAGCTTCACCTCCTGCTGGAAGTGCATCCAACGTGTAACACCGTCCCACGTAATCCGTCTACTCTCCCGTTTCGTTTCTGAAGCCCAAAAAGAAAAAACAGACCACCCCCAAAACTAAATTAAATCTCCGATTCCTTCGCCCCCCTCCCCCCTCGCGGGGTCTAGCCCTGTCATCAGCAAATTATTGGAAACCCTATACCCTATACTGATAGAGTACCCCTACGCATCCGTCTTGCACGGATAGCTGCACGCATCAGGCCGCATCCAAGGATAACCCCCCAGTGCAGGGTCCATCGATATAAAAGCCCTAGGGACCATGCCCGATGATTCACACCGCTGTTCACACCCCCCGAGATTTCTTCCACCGCTGGAAAAGCAAAACCAATTGCTCAGACTTTGTTTTTTTTCCTGCCTGCGTATACTTCCTGCCCTAGACGCGCTCTAGACATTCTATAAACCTTGTCGAACTGCAATAACTGTCATTGCCATCCTGCCTGTGCATGAAGCATACGCCCTCACTTCTTCTGGATTGTCTCTGCTTTTGCTAGCACCGGTCCAGCAACATGGCCCCGATTTCCCTCGGTGACAGCAGCAACAGCGGCCGCAGCAGCAGCAGCAGCAGCAGCAACGAAGCTCCCACGCCCACCGCACCAGAATCCTTCCTCCCGCTCCTCGAGCAAATCAAGCAAGCCGTACTGCAGGAAGAGAGCCCCGACCGGACGGCCAAGTCCCACTTCCAGCTGCTGGGACTGGTGGACCAGCTGCGCCTCGCTATTGAGAGCCCGACCGAGACGCTGCTGCGGTTAATCTACCAAGTGAGAACCCTTGACACCTGGCAGCAGTAATCCCGGTTCGTCACTAACTACCCCAAAAAAGCCCCCGCAGAACGCTGCCCTCCGTACAGTGATGGACATGAACCTATTCCCACTGCTCATGGACCACCGCCCCGCCGGGCTGTCGGCGACCGCGCTGGCAGAGAAGACCGGCGCAGAGCGGGCGTTGATCGGTACTTGACCCCACCCACATTTTCCAGACCAAGACAATAATCCACATGCCCTTACTGATGCTTGACGGTGTGCACAGTCCGACTCATGCGCGTGATGGCCTCATTAGGGCTATGCACGACCCCGACGGCGGAGCACTACGCCGCCAACGAGAAGACCGCCGCGCTGATCGCGCCCATTGGTCGGGACGGGGTGCCATGCATGTACGTTTACCCTTTACCTTCGTACCTATGCAGCAGCAGCAGCAATATCTCCCCAAACCACCATCAAACCTACAGTCCCTCTCAAACCAAGAAAAAACCACTAACACCCCGCCCAAAGCTACGACCTAACACTACCAACCCTCTCCACCCTCCCGACCTACTTCGCCACGCACGCCTACACCACCCCCAAAGAATACGCGCACGCGCCCATGAAATGGGCCGTCGGCGCCAGCCAGTTCGAGTGGCTGGCGGCCCACCAGCCGCGCCAGCAGCGGTTCAACTCGTACATGGCGAGTCGGCGCGCGGGGAAGCCCGAGTGGTTCGAGATGTATCCGGTGGCGCGGCTGACCGATCCGGCGTTGCCGGCACTCGAGGATGACCCGGAGGCGGTGTTGATTGTGGACGTCGGCGGGAACCAAGGGCACGATTTGCTCGCGTTTCAGGCCCGGTACGCCGATCTCCCCGGGCGGCGGGTGCTGCAGGATCTACCGAAGGTGGTGAAATGGGATGTCGGGAGCGGGATTGAGGCGATGGGGGTTAGCTTTCTGGAGGAGCAGGCTGTCAAAGGTACTTTCCCCTTCCCCTCCCCCCTCTCTCGGTGGAGCTTTGCTTGTGGGCTGTGGTGGTGGTGGGTTGTGGTGGTGTATGGGGTTCACCCACCCCTTGCGACATCCAACTTTACCCCCCGGGCTTAAAACTCGGTGAGCACCGCGGTCACCGGCCAAGTATATGCTAACGGTGGCAGCTGCACGAACCTACTACTTCCGCGCCATCTTCCACGACTGGCCCGACGCCACCTGCCTCCGCATCCTGCAGAACACCGTCGCCGCCATGGACCCCGCGCACTCGCGGGTGCTGATTGTTGACATGGTCCTGCCCGACACGGACGTGCCGCTGCTGCAGGCCTCGCTGGATATCCAGATGATGAGCATCGGGGCGGGCGTGGAGCGCTCGGAGCGCCAGTGGCGGGATCTGTTGGGGAAGGCCGGGCTGGAGGTGACGGGGATTTGGAATACGAATCCCGGGATGGAGTCGGTGATCGAGGCTGTTATCAAGCCAAGGCAGTAATCTTATTCTCTACGGTGGGCTATGGTTTGGGTATGTGTGGGGAGGAGGGGGGGGTGCTCTAGAGGCAAAGACAGTGATCGGTGTTTCAACTGTGAATAGGGTGGTGTCTGTGCGTCTCTGGGTCCTACTGGTACATAACTTATCCGGGTAGGGAAGTTGATAGAGAGATAGATAGATGGGGATGGGGATGGGGATGGTACAGGTATGAAGGAAGGTCGGCGTTAGGTTGACATTTTGGTGTTGCGTGGGTTAGGGTTTTTTGACAGGTCCAATAAACTAAACTAGAAACTTTGTTTCCACCACTGATGCCTCCCTCATCCACCACCCAAACACGAAATTCCAGCACGATATCCAGAGTCTCCGGCGAACACGAAGTTGCCTTCAATCCTAGGAAACCTCCTTACTGAGTTTGAGGTGTTACAACAGCAGCAGCGCAGCCTCAATTGACTTCCTACCACCCTCCTCCAACTATCCCTCAACCGCAACGCACCAAAGCAAAAGGTAACCGAACGTTACTAATTCCAACTCGGCTCCAAACCCCAGACCTCCAACCCATACACTTTCCGCCCCTTGCATAACCACCACCATCTTGCAACGTAACCCCCTTCAAATAGACTAAACACCTCACCTCAGTGCCGCCGCAGCGGTCACGATCGGTATCGGTATCGGGATCTTTCATCCGCCACGCACGCACCAACCACACAGCCTGCTCCTCGTCGCCACGGCACCCCCCCCCCCCCCATCGTAGAACAAGCACTCCACGACGACCACGCAACCCCACCCCGAAAAGTGCATATGAATTAAATCCACGGCCAGCGTAGCTTGCCTTTCCGTCCTCTGACTTTTCCTCTGCACAACTAACAACTAACATCGTATCATCATGCTTTATTGGAGTTTGAGCCCCGAACCGATGGACCAAAGGTTGTCAGTTGGAGCTGTCATATTGGTTTACCGCAAGGGGGTGGCTGCGGCGGCGGCGCGGTCATGGGGTCACGGACTGGGAAGGTCGGTTTCACGGCACTCGAAGCCGGATGGGGGGACTACCTTCGCACCGTGAGAAGCACCAAGGGATGTGGAGGCGGGGTCGGAGACTGGACTGGATGGGACTGAACTGGACTGGTTACAGTGACTATTGTTTTGAATGGCGCCTTCTCGGTTCGTTTTGCTTCCGGATGGGTTGGAGAGAGAAGAGTCAGGGATACGGTGTGGACAAGCACTGCATTGGCCCCTGGCTCTCGTGTCGAGGCTGCACTCGGTCGATACTTCCTTCGAAATGGCATTGTGGTTATGTGGAATCGGACTGCTGATGAAACAAGCTGGTCATTGATTTTCCTGACAGGTTTCTGATACGACAGCTAATACTTCCGTGTTTTGGGTCAACTGATGGTTTGCCTTGTGGCTATACTGCGTTTCTGTGAACCTCATTGTCTACACTATCACTTCTGAACTATTCTAAACAATCTTTCGGACTCAATTGATTCAACTATTTAATCTATCTAGATCTGGCAAATAACAAAGTTGAAGCCAGCAGTATTGTAGCAACAGCCATCAACATGCCAGCACCAGCAAGTGGACAAAGTTATAATACATGATTCCACGATGAAGGGAAGATAACTTCCATGGGATATATGGCAACAAAAAACATTTAAACAATTATATCAGTGGCTCTAAACCAGCAAAATCATGGCGAGAGCGCCAACGATGCCGGACGCACCGAGGGACATCTTACTAGCACCACCGGTGAAGAGGGCGGCGGCAGGAGTAGTGGCAGACGAGGAGCCCGAGCTGGAGCTGGAGCCAGATCCCGAGCTGGAGCCCGAGCTGGAGGTTCCAGAGGTGCTGCTAGACAAGGTAGGAGCACTCGTGGGAACGCCAGGGGCGGCAAGTCTGCTAGACGAGGGAGCGACGGAGAACGAAGGCACGGCAGAGCTGGAGGCGCCGAAGCCGACGGCATCAGCACCGGACGGGATAACGCCAGAAGAGCCGGATCCGTGGCTTCCACTGGAGGAAGCAGAGCTACCCTGGCCGTTGGCTTCGGCGCTGGCACCGCTCACAGTAGAGCCATTGGCAGATGCAGCCGCAGATGCGGAGACACCAGAGCTGCCATTGGCTTCAGCACTGGCACCGCTTGGGGCAGAGGCCGAGCCGGAACCAGAAACAGAGCTGCTTGAGCTGCCGTTGGCTTCGACACTTGCTCCAGAGGCAGTGGAACCAGCGGAGCTACCCGAGCTGCCGTTGGCCTCAGCACTTGCGCCAGCAGTAGAACCAGTGGAGCCGGAGCCAGTGGAGCCAGTAGACCCGGTAGAACCAGTGCTAGACTCGGAAGAGCTGCCAGTGGAGGAAGTGCCAGCGGAGGTGTTTCCAGAAGAGCTACCAGTTGAGCCGGTCGACCCAGTGGAGCCGTTGGAAGAGCTGCCAGTGTTGCCAGAGGAGCCAGTAGATGTACCCTGGCTACCGTTGGACTCTGCACTAGCACCGCTGACAGTAGAAGAAGGAGACGAGCCGGTGCTAGACTGAGTAGACGAACCACCAGTGGAAGGGGTGTTGTCGGAAGAACCAGTGCGCGACTCTTCAGATGCAGAAGCGTCGGTAGAGGAGCCGGTAGTAGATCCGGTCGAGCCGGTAGAGCTGGTAGAGCCGGTTGAGCCAGTAGAGCCGGTTGAGCCAGTAGAGCCAGTAGAGCCAGTAGAGCCAGTAGAGCCAGTAGAGCCAGTAGAGCCAGTAGAGCCAGTAGAGCCAGTAGAGCCAGTAGAGCCAGTGGAGTCAGAATCAGAGCCAGCCCCAGAGCCGTTGGCCTGAGCGCTAGCACCGCTGACAATGGTCGAGGAGGCAGCAGGAGAAGAACCGGCCCCGCTGGCGTTAGACCCAGAGGAAGCGCTTCCGCCGGTAAGACCAGCAGCACCAGTCCTCTCTGCAGAGCAGACAGTGGCAGTAGCAGTGACGGTCACATAGCGAGTGGATCTGGACACGGAGCTCGAGTTTTCACCGGCAACGGAGATAACACCGACAGTGGCGACCTGAGAAGTGGATTCGGAATCGGCAGAGGCGGACTCGGCGGCGGCAGCGGGAGCAACGGTGGTGGCGGCAGATGTGGCGGCAGCATTGGTAGCAGCACCGTTAGTAGCAAAAGAAGCGGTGGCAGCAGCATCGGTGGCAGCAGAACTGGCAGAAGCAGCGGTAGCAGCAGCGTTGGTAGCAGCATTAGCAACAGAAGTCGTGGCAACAGTAGCAGAGGCGACAGACTCGGTCTCGCTGGCGGTAGAGACAGACTGAGCAACAGAAGTGGCACTGCTGGCAGCGACAGAAGCAGAGACAGAGGCAGAGGCAGTCGAGTTACCAGTCTGAAAGATCTTGATGTAGTTGATCTCCCAGAAAGACTCCTCAAAAGCAGAAGGGTTCTCGGCAACATAGGCAACACAGCTCTTGGTAGCACTGGTCTTGTCGCTGATAGGGCAGCCGGACGAGAGGAAAACACCACCGGCCCAGTCACCGCAGAAGGTAGTGTCGAAGATGAACTTCTGAGATTTGAAGTGTTCGGCGAAGTTGCAAGAGCCCTGCAAGTGGCCCATGGGAGTGCCGAAGGCAGAGATATCGGGGGTGCCAGCAGTAATCGACGTGGGAATTGAGTCACGAGCAAAGTACCAGAACTTGATGTAGTCCTCCTGCCACTCCATAGCATACACACCACCACCTTGCTCGTTAAAGGGGGTGCCTGAAGAACCCTCTGAGCTCTGGACGACACAACCCGTGGTTCCAGCATCCTCACCACAGTGCGTGGCGGTCAGGGTACCAGTCATATCACTTTGGGCGGAGACATCGCAGGTGCCGCTAGTGTGAAGGACAATCTCGCTGGCCGTGTTCAGGTTGACAGCCTCGATGATATCAATCTCACCATCGGCTGGCCAATTGGCACCGGTCGACCAGAAAGCAGGCCAGGTACCGCATACGCTCCCGGGCATGTGTGCAAGATCAATAATGAAAAGTCCGTGGTCATAGTACTTCTTGCTCTCGATGCGGACCGACTCACGACCGGGTCCGGTGGTGCTTAGCTTTGTTGTGTGGTCAACACCCATGTAGAAGGAGCCATTGTTGTTGACCTTGACTAGTCCGGAACTCTCGGCATAGCTTTGGTTAGTGTAGGTGACAAAGCCGTTCGTGGGGTCCGCGCCGGTGTAGAAGTCGAAGTATTCGAGGAAACCTTCGCCTTGCCAGGTTTGAACGAGGTTGTAGCTGGAGGCAAGGGCAGGCGAGATAAGAGCGAGTGAGCTCAAGCTGAGAAGCGTGAATGAAGAAGGCATCGTCACTGGAGTGAGGTCAAGCGAGCGAGGGCGATGCAAATGTTGAAGAAACTAGGCCCTGAGGGATAGGTAGAAGATGAGATCGCGGAAGAGGCTTTCCCGCAACGATTGGCGTCGGTAAGGGTGGTAAGGAATGATAGACAACAGCCTTCAAGGCCGATGACGTGGAATGAGAACGAGAGATCGAGGCGCAGAAATCAATCTGCAGCGAAAGGAAACAAAAGAATGTATGGGAATTATGAACAATCGGAAAGGGAGAGAGAGGAAAGGAAGGGAATGTACATCGAACCAAGAGAAAAGGAAGTATGCGAAACCCGGCTCACGGCTGGGGGCAGGTCGGTCAATAATATAATAGGATAGTAAAATCCTAAATAGAACCATAACACACACCCTGCCTAGCCAGAGCTCCAATGTTGAGTGGCTGCGGACCAGCATGGTTGTCGCCGGCCATAGCGAAACGGCTAGTCATTGTCGGCTGGGCCCATTCACCGAGCGTCAACGGAACACGGCCATTGGAGAGGGGGAGAAAGGGTGGTTCGTGCCGCGTTACTACTACTAGGTAGCGGGCTTTCCAGGCACGGAACGAATCAGCAAGCGGAGCTGCATGAGTTTAGTTTTCCTTTCATTCTTGGGCTCGGCATGTCGGGTGGATCGAACAACAGAGCAGAGACGTGGTGGTGGAAACCTGAAACGCGACGAGACTGCCCGAGGGGGAAGATGAAACAGGAGACTGTCTTGGGTGTGATTGCGCTGCTAGCTGGTCGAGTTCTGCATGCAACGGACAAGTCGATATGTAGAATGAACCAGGATTGTTGATCTATTGATTGTATTGCATCTTTGACCGATCGCAATTGAGCAGTGTTGTTGTTGCTGCGCTGCGGAGCGGGAGGGAGATAGACGATGGTGTGCTTGGGGGGCAACCATCAGCCCGTTCACATTCTCGACCGGTCCAGCAGCGTCGCGGGCAGAATTGCCGATCCGGGGCACCAGTCCGAGGCAGAAGCAGAAGGCATCGTGCGAGGACCAAATCTTAATGGCGGGCGGGGATTATCAGGTTGACCGTCGACTAGATAGATAGACTATGCTCCTATGCTCCATTCCCGCGTCGGGGTTGAGTCCGTCCAGAGTCCAGAGTTCTAGACACGGAGAGGGTGGAGCAACACGGACGACGCCGTTGTTTCTTTGAGACCAAGTGGAGGAGAGAATAGAGACAAGAATAGCATCAAAGAGAACTGGAACCGTGTATGAGAATTACCTTTCCTTCAGCAATCATCTGCGCAATCCTCTGCACTGAATGAATGGATAATCGATGAAGAAACGAAGGCGACTGGAGATGCCATTCCAGTAACTGAGGTTGTTGCGGAAGAAAGAATGTCAGAAACGCGTATCCGCGGCACGATTCAACTGGTGCCTGGCTGCCTGGCTGCCTGGTTGATGCCTCGAGAAAGCGTCAACTGTGGCTGGGGTGGGGGTGGGGGAAATTCTCCCGCGTTGCTGTGGCTCAACCGCGCCGACGCGTGGCTGACCGCCCCTCCCATCTCCCTCCAGGAGTCGATCACCTCATGTAGATTTCCTATGCTCATCTATCCCATGAAATTGGGCCTTAGTTCCAACTCCTAAGGTCATTCAATTTTTCTACTCCAGTCTCAACTCTTATCATCATTCCTTATCACTGACAAACCACTTTCCCTGAACCAAATCTCCGTCCCCAGCACGAACAGAAGTCTACTTTTTTTGTCCCGAGCTTCCCCCTGAGCTACCCAGAAAGCAGGTGTTCTGCCCATGGGCTGAGAAAAGCCAAGCCAATCCGATGGAGACGGCCTTACGGTCCTGGACATGTGGTCCTGTGGTGCTATGGGTCCCTCGGCCCAAAGAGCCGTAACTTATCAGCAGTAGTAGTACTATTTCTAGCGACCACAGAGGTTTTCAGCCGACTGTGCTGGCGGGACAAAGACAGACCTGTGATGCATCTAGCTATGGGGACTGCTTCCCCCTCCACGCAGTACTGACAACGCCTGTCATATTCTCTTGGCTTTGCTCCCATATCTCACATGAGTGTCATGACACATGATAATCCTATCTTGACAGAGGCCTAAAATCTGACATGCAGGGTTGAAAATCTCCGTGCTCGCCAGTTTACTCCGGTAGTCTTCCAGATTGAACCCTGATCCGCGCTAGTCTCAGATTCTCGTATCCCCCTCGCTAGTCGCTACTGTTGACTTTGGGGAACAGTCATGACTTGACTGCTCGATTTCAGGTACAGCTCAGCCAAGAGAACCCCTGGCTCGTGCTATGGGTAGAATTGGTCGACCTAGGGACTTTGCTCGCTCTAATTGTACACTTTGTGGGATCGGAATCGCTATTCAGGTCCCTGGCGACCTGCATGACTCGGTCAATGCCTGGTCTATCGATTCGGTCATGTCCGGACCAAGAATGGGGCATGTTGCGGGCTTTTGTACGGTTGGCCACAAATTGAGAAAGCCTCCATAGAAGACCCTGTGATCCGCAGGGTGTGACTGGTTGTCAGATACTTCGTAGACCCTCGCTAAAATGGTGGAATCCGACCTATTCCATCCACCATCGTAGAGTTGCCACGAACACCATTCTAGGACGTTCGATGGAATTCAAGGTCGAACACAACCGACGCATGGTAGCGGCGGTATGTCATTCGCATGTCGGGCTTAGAGCCACGCGACGATTCCTAATCCCCGGAAGAACCTTCCTTATTGATGTCGGTCGCCGACCGTGGCTTTGAGACAAGTGCTCATTTTTCCCAGACACATAGGATGCACTTGTTGCCGACGGCTCTTAACGACCACACGCTCCTCATATTCCTGACATCGCATGAGTTATTGCAAGGCGGTCTTTACTAAGAAGTCGATCACCTTCGCAGGAAAGATCCGACCTCAGGCAGGCGTGCCGGGAGAGGGCCCTGTTACAGTAAATGAGCTGAGTTTCCCTCCCGTGTCACATCACATGCATGGAGAATGCGAAACCGGTCTGCTCGTCGAAACGAAGGCCACCGCCTGCCTTAACTTCGAAGTAAGTACACCTAGTCCATGCCTCAGCCCCCAGTACACTCTCGGAGAGCCTTTTCCACATCGCGACGACGGAAGCCGGGTGTCCATCCAAGGCAAATGCCACACCCCGACAAAACTAGATCGCGTTAGCAGATGATTCAACACGATGGTCAACTCTCGAAGCACATACTTTTGATTAACCGCTTCGCGTTCACCGCCGGAGCAGGCTGACAGGAATCCTTCTCGACTTCCGGCGGAGCATGTGCAAACAGGCGAACGCCCTGTTCACGAAGATAGCCCTCCAAGTCACCCATGTCGAACCAATCGCCCGCGAGAACTTTCTGTAGATGCGGTGGGAACTCTAGCAGAGGCTCCGGCAAGACCACCCATCGAACACCAGGCCGATGTAGGTAACTCGCCAATCCAGCCTTCGCGGCAGTCCACGGGTAATGGGTGCCTGCTCCACCCAGGCTGAAGAAAGGGATGTCCTTCCAGTCTTCGTAGCGTTTCTTTCCATCTTTCGTGTTAAGCGCAGCATAGAACAGGCCCGTTAGGGTCTTACGGTCTACGATGGTGAGAGGCAAGCAGAAGTGTCTCATTATGCGCTCCGTGCTGATGTTGTCGTCGCATAAGGCAAGACAGCCGTGGTAGATGCACGACATGTGCAATCGACTCATGAATACAGACAGCTCCATCTCCTGGATATCCGGCAGCACCAGCTGCTGGGGAGGAGGCCTGAGAGCCGGCCTGAATGGCGTCATCTGCTTTCCAGATTGGAAGATGGGTAGAACAGGAGGATAGGTCTTCCCGAAGTCAATAGGCACCGAGAACTGAAACCCATTCCCCGGAGCAGAGGACTGGGCAGAACTAGTTTTCGAGGATGCCGACGAGGGCACCAGGGCTGTCGAGTCTGCTCCGTCCTTGTTGGCATCTTTTGCCAGATTAAGACACGTCTGCACGGTATGGTGCAGATGCTCGGCCAGATGAGGGTTCGACTCTAAAGCCCCGGACTGAACGAGCTGGTCGCTGAGCGAAAGTACAGCAGAGCTCATCTGCTCGACCACGGACTCTAATTCTCCGATGCGACTCTTAAGGGAAGACATGTTCGCTTCCTTCCGCGAGCGATAGGCGCGCTGCGCAAGGCGAATCTGCCGCCGTCGCCTCTGAGCAATATTTAAGCAGCTGCATGTCGGGTCAGGCGATAATGATAACAAAGACATACCTCTTCAGGGTCTTCCGCCAAGGATTCATCGAGTACTTTTCGAGGCCGACCTCGTTTAGCAGTCGTACTTGCCCCCGATGCAGGCTTCTCAACCTCGGCGCGTTGGCGCTTGGGATGCTCTGCTACAACATGATCTGCATGCGTCTGCTGGCTGTCGATTGTGCTTGAAGTACTATCGATCTCAAAGACATGGTCGGACGTGATGCCACCGGATAAGATTGGCTGGGTAGAGTCCCCAGGTAACGATTCAGCAGACTCGGGCACCGGGTACGAACAAGCTGAGAGCAGCGAGGTGATCTGTGGTGACGCCATGGAATCCGACGCAGGGTGGGTAGAACCAAAGAACTGATCGTGAATAGTCTCCCAGGGCACTAAAGTGGCGTCGGTTTCCGATGCACCTTCTTGTGTTGCGGCATAATTCAGATGCGCCATAGCATCATAGGTGGGGGTATTTATGTCTTAGGTGACAGGATGCTACTCTGTCGAAAGATATAAAAGCCGCAGATGAGCTGTTATAGAGACGGACACTTAAGTTTGTATGCTATCAGCCGGTTGCCACGCGCGAGGATTCATCAGCATCGTCAGCAAGAAGGATGCCACCCAACGGGGCGACTATCGGCGCGGTCAGATTGTCAACGGTTGGGTAATATAATCTGGGACGCCCCAAGGCCTGTGCTAATGCACGCATAACTCTTGGCTATGCAGAAAACGAAGTTGTCTTGTTGGGAGGCGGGATGGGGATTCGTGGGATCCCGCCTCGGCCCCAACTGTTCACTAATCATTTTTTTTTGCCTCAGGCGAGAACACGCTCGTATTTTCTGCCTGCTTTGTCACTAAGTCCAAGTTGTGCGCGAGAGCGAGCCCGAGAAGGCGGTGAGGAAAAGAACAGTTTCGCCCGTTGTTCATCGGGAGTCACCCGCTTTTTAGATCCGAGCCATTCTGCCTGCCACCGCCTGTTTTGAACAGGTTCGCAGGGCCGAGTTTCGTCCCTGGCATGGTAAGGAGCAGATAAGAAGTGCTACTTCTAATGTTCTTTGGATTCTGGTCTTACGACATATAGTACGGGGTGGTCCGTTTCGTGAGAAATACGAGATTATATTAGTTGACTGTTGAGCCAGACCTGGTAAGAGCTCGGGAATATATTCTCAGTCTCTGTTTATAGCCTTTTAGCCTTTTAGCCTCCAAACGCCCAGTCATCAAAACATGATGGCTATTTATGTGCAGATATCACTTTTAATCTCTCAACGACCTCTTAGGCAGCGAACTCCTTCAAGTAGGCAACAAGCTTCTCAACGCCGGACTCGGGGATCGCGTTGTAGTTGGAGGCACGGATACCTAGATGTCTCGTTAAACACCATCATGAGTGATGCCAACCAACAACTAAACTTACCTCCGACGCTTCTGTGGCCCTTGAGACCGGTAACGCCACGCTCAACAGCGCCCTTCAAGAAAGACTTCTCCGACTCGTCGACGTTGCCACCCTGCTCGGGTTAGTGCATTTCGCGTGCAGCTTCGTTTCTGCGGTAGACATACCTTGGTCACACGGAAGCAGACATTCATCCGCGAGCGGACGCTCTTGTCCGGAACAACGCGGTAGACCTCAGGGTATGCGTCGAGAGTCTGGTAGATAAGGTTCGCCTTCTTCTCGGCAACGGCCTGCTGTCCATCAACCTTGTTGGGGAACTCGGCAAGGAGCTTCTTCAACACCTGACCGGCGATGTAGACACTAGATGACATCAGCCACGCACAGTTGAAAGAGCTTCACGTTGCATACTCGAAAATGGGCAGAGTGTTGTAGAGACTGTTGTTCTTGGCGATGACGGAGTAGTCGAGGATGGTGGGCGCAATGGGCAGACCGAGCTTGCGCAGGATAGCGGGAGAGGCGGGAGGAGAGACCGGGGGCAGGAGGTCCTTCTTGATGATCACTCCAGTAACTCCAGGCGTACCGAGGTTCTTCTGACTTTTTGGGGGTTAGTACCATAATTGAGGGGATGGTATGGATCTGCCCTTACGCTCCGAAGAAGATGACGGAGTAGTTCTGTTCCGAGTTAGCGCATGCTAAAACGACATTTCAGGTCATCCTTACCTCGACCGGAATCCGTCTGGAGAGGATGTTCGACGAAAAGTCACCGATGACAATGGGGTCATTGTCTGTGCCCCTGGGCTCCAGCACCTTGGGGAAGCCAGGGAATTCGACACCATCGACAGTCTACAAAGCACACATTTTAGCAGGGCTTCAACCACGGTCGGAGCACCGGGTGCCTACCTCATTGTCGCACATGTACACCATAGCAGCCTTGGGGCTCAACGACCAGGTTGATTCGTCCGCGATCTTGCCGAACTTCCCATCGTTGATCGTTCTCGAGTCACTGACGACATTGACACACTCGGGTCCGAGGAGGCGGGCAGCTTCTTGGCTGGCTTTCAATGACCATCTGCGCAGGCCATTAGTCCAACAGCGCCGTAATTGATCGGTCGGGACACTCACGATCCAGTCACAAGGTAGTCCAACCGCAATTCCGATTCGACCTTCTTGAGAACCTCCTTCAGCGCGTCCTCCTCGCTGATCTCGGGGTGTTCCTTCACGATCTTCTGTCTTTGCTTCTCGACCCAAACGGATACGATATTGTAGACGACTGCGGAGAATTGGCCGGAGCCACCACCTGCAATGGACGAGTCAGACGACCGAGCCGTAGCCGCAATGACGAAGGAGTGCCGCAAATACCTTGCATGAACAGGATCTCGTAGGAGGAAGGGATGTCGAGGAAGTTGGCGAGGTCAGCCTTGGCAGTGTTCAGGATATTCGAGGCCAGCTCGCTGCGGTGGCTGTGCTCTGCTACACCCCTATAGAATTGAGCTGTCAGAGAAAAAAATGGTTGCACGGGTTGGCGATAAGATCGCCGGGATCGGAGCGCCTCACAAGCCAGTGTCTTGGTAGTTCAACAAAGCCTCAGCGGCGGTGGTGAGAACGTCGGTCGGGAGGGCGGCGGGGCCGGCACCCATGTAGGTGATGTCTTCTCTTCTCATGATGGCAGCGATTCTGTGGATTGGTGGTGCTGTTGGAGATGTCGGGGTTGGATCGTGGGGAGGGATAAGATGAAATTTAATGACGTGCCCCTCGCTCGTGACTCACTAAGGCAGGTACTGGTCAGTCCCGGTCCGACGTTACATAATTGTGGTACGAGAACCCCACCACAGAAGGGAGCTGTTTACATTGTGTCTGTTGAACTAGACTCCGTTCTTTGGCCTTCAATTGCATAGTTCTGGAGTTCGATACCGAAGGGTGGGGCTATCAATGGCGTGATTGAGAGAGGGATTTCCAGTACTGGAGCGTAGTGCATAAAAAGCTTTAGACCGAAATACAAGTCAACATGAGCCAAGAAGGCTGTCCATGCTAGCTTGGATTGTGTACAGGATTTCAATTACTGGACATCAATTAAGTTCCAGACCAAAATCTACCGCACGTGGCAAGAGACGATAACAAAGATCATGATGATGATGAAGCGTGAGTGGTAAAAGCATGACGCAAAAAGAGTGACGCAAAAAGAGATCTCCCCGACTGGGAGTCGAACCCAGGTCTCCCGCGCTTGTTCCTGTTCAGGATTGACAAGCGGAAATCATGACCGTTAGACCATCGAGGAATTGATGAAACAAGTATGTAATCTTTGGTCTTAGGTTAGGGAATTAACACAGATGCAAAAAAAAAAGAACCCAAATCACCCTGCTTCCTACAACATGTGTTTTGGCGCATGTCTGAAAGTAGCAAATGATACCGATTTAAGAACGCATTGACAACGAGACTTTATACCAAGTCAGGACTTGATTGTGGCTTATTAAACTGAAAAAGGACGCACTTATGCCCATTGAACTTACCGTTGCACGTGGCGGATGATCAGCTTGAGATCCCGCTGATTGCCCTTTCAGACATGTAATTCTAGTCCGCGCTGATGGCCAACATCAACATAACACTTCGTACAAAGCATATCTGCTTCGACAACCTAGACTCTCGAATCATGGTACATACAGTACACTAGCGACCAGCAAGGTCAACACCAAAGCCACGACCGCGGACAGGGGCAAGTGGATCCCCGATCTCCAGCGGCCCGGGGCCACCGGATCCAAACCATTCATCATCGGCCTCCTCCACATACGCATATATCACCCTCAAACCTATCCTCCCAATACACCCCAGAACATACACCCAGCCCCCACCAACCAAAATGACAGTCATAGCAGTAGCAGGCGGCACCGGCGGTGTAGGCAGAACGATCGTCGAGACCCTCCTCCAAGAAACCACCCACAAGATCATCATCCTAACCCGCAGTGTGCGTAATTTGTCCTCGGCCTCAAAATACAAAATTCCCAGGCCCCCAGGCCCCCAGTCCCCAAAGCTTACCCTCATGCAGACCCCACAAGACCCCCCCACCTCCCGAACCCAGCACCTCCAAATCAACTACGACGACATCCCCGCCCTCACGGACCTCCTCACCACCGAGGGGATCACAACCATCATCTCGGCCATCGGCATCACCACCGACGCCACCAGCCAAGCGCAACTGAACCTCATCGACGCCGCCGAGCAATCCCCCACCGTCACCCGCTTCCTCCCAAGCGAGTACTCTTTCATCCAGACGCCCGAGTAATCTCCTACCCTACCCTCCCCCCCCCCCCCACTCAATGCTGATAAACATCAAAAGCCTCCTCGAAATCGACCCCAGCATAAAACACTGGCTCGCAGCCGCCAACAAGCTGCACCACGAGGCCCCGTCCCTCAACTTCACCCGGGTGATTCCCGGCTTCTTCATGGATTACTGGGGGATGCCGCACGTGCGCACGCACCTGCAGCCGGGGGTGTTTGGGGTTGACGTCCAGAACGGTCGGGCGGCGATCCCCGGCGACGGGAACGACCGGTTGTGCATCACGTATACGTACGACATGGCGCGGTTTGTGGTACGGTTGCTGGAGGAGGTGGATGCGGGCGAGTGGCCGGAGTTCAGTGTTGTGGTGGGGGATGTGGTTACTTATAATGAGTTGGTGGGGTGGGTGGAGGATATCAGAGGTTTGTTTTGCCCTTTCCTTTGTAGAAGTTCTGGAGAGAAAGAGGGGGGGGGGGGTTAAGGTCGGGGGCCAAAAGTGAAGCAAGAGGAAAAGGAACGGAAGACACCGTCAGAAAGCACGCGAACGAGACCAGGATCCATTCTAACCAGACTTTCCACATCCAGGTCGAAAATTCTCCGTTGTATACGACAGCCCCGAGAAGATCAACCAAGGGCAGGTCACCGTCCCTGCCGTCCCAGAGGGCTACACCGAGGCGGAAGCCCACGAGGTGACCGTGCTGGTCAGTCGGCTCACCATCGCGGGGGTCTTCGATCTGCCCGTGGAAGGGCGGCTGAATGCCCGATTCCCCGGGATCAAACCGGTCAAGATGAAGGAGTTTCTGGTTGATGCGTGGAAGGGGAAGAACTGAACCCTACTCCCCGGCTGTATCCTACATCCCACTATCTAGTCTTGCGTATCTTACCGTTGGATAGGCTAGGCAAACGAAACAGATGAAGATTTTCTTTGCTTTATGCGGATCTTAGGTATATCATAACAACACAGTCTGAAACGCTGCGTGGACTTTTCTTCCGAACCCCAAGCTAGAACAGAATTCAATGTAAAGTATGTCACGCACACCACGGGCAAAACACGTAAGACAACACCGGAGGAGCCCTCGATCAGTACCCCATCGATCGAATCGAACCAATCTCTACCCCACGCGCAAATCGAGATCCCATTCTTACACCCTACCTAGACACTCACCCACCAAGGACCGAGCCAGCCATCCATAGCCTCGTTGTAGTAAATCTCATCAACACCATCATCGTCCTCCTCGTCCTCCTCGCCCTCGTCCTCCTCGCCCTCGTCCTCCCCATCCTCATCGTCCTCATCGTACGCATATTCGACGAACAAGTCTTCGAGGTTAACTGACACCGGCAATGAACGCAATGCACGTTTGGCAGGGCCAGGAAAAGGTCATCACGTACAGGTAACAGTAGTTCCTTGGGTAGGTGCCGCCGCCGCCGCAGCAGCAGCAACGGCAGCAGAGGTAAGAGGGTCAGTGGCCTCCACCAGCTTGGCCAGGTCAGCCTCGGTGATTTCGTCGCCGGGCTCGCGGGTGTGCAGGGGAATGTTTTCGATCTGTCCGGACATTTTGTGCTGGTCTCAGAGGGGTTTGAGTTGCCACAGAGTGAGAGAGGTCAAGGGCAGGGCAGGTGGTATAGAAAAAGTTGAAGGCACTGGAAGTTAAAGGGAGGTCGGTTACTAGCCAGAGGAGAGATACGTCTCTGCTCTCGCGGGATTGTCTATTTATAAATGTCTTGTCCACTGTCGAGATGCCCGTCTAAGAACATAAGTCCTTGACATTAACATGAAATGCTAAAACGCAATGAAGCAGGTTCATTTGGACGGTGGGAGGTCTAGACCACCAGCTCAAGCAACACTCTCGCCTCAGGAAAGAAAAACGTGTGGCCTTGGTTGGAAGACCGACAAGCCCTTTTTCTCACAAATTGATTGATGGCGTATAATAGCCAGGGATGTTATATCGACAGACACATTGGACAATTCGCCGCCACCACAAAGATTCAAAGCTCAGCCACCAGCCACAAGACCAAAGATGCAACCCGCTGTATCACATGCTCATCAAACAGATAAAACCAGAAACAAGAATCCGCGTTAACGTGGCTCTGGTTTTCCTGATCTCTGGTGTGGTGAGGCTTCCACAAGTTTCCAATCTGGAGACCACGGGACCCCAAGGTAAATCGAACGGCGTGCTGGGTCCTAAGGGCTTCGTATCCTCCATGATGGATGCTGCCTCTAAGTTGCAGAAAGGCTCGGCCCGCCTGTGGACATCGTGGTCAGTCAAACAGACAATTCTCTCAGAGTCGCAGCACACCCACCCCAGTGGAAGGCTATCATGGTGCTATCTGGAGTTGACAGCAGATATCCGATGGTATCCATCAAAGTGAAGGAGTCGTGAGCCTCAGCAGACGTGCGGCCCAGGCGCCTTCTCGCAGAGCGTTTGCGACCGTGTCCCTGGGTTGGCTCCTGGTCGGGTTCGCCCAGGGCAGGACTGACTTCTTCTTTCGGTTCGGAAGCGTGCATGACTGCGACGGACGGTCGACCGTTGGATGCGAAGGCTTCTTTCTCAATTGGCGATAAACTTGTATTTGGCACGAGCAATGTGTACGCACAGTTAGGAAGGGGTCAGGGGACAGATCTTGCCATTCAGGATAGTGTTCGATCTGCGGACCCCCTCTCTAAGCTTCTCTGAGTTGTGGACTGTGCGGACAATTCGCAGTCATCGTGTGGGCGCATAGCATCTTTAAGTGTTCTTTGGGGCTGCTGGCTCCTCAGGGGACGATGCAGGCAAGGCCGAAACTCGGCAGAAGACACGCGAGCAGCCTGAGCCGCTTTTACCGGAACGGCGCTGCGGGTAGTCTGCGCGCTGCAGACGAGCTGACAAGTCATCCACCATGGAGACAACTCGACCGAAGGAAAAACTCAATCAGGCATGAGGGAGGGGATTGAAGGAGGGGAAGAATGTCTGTAGGTGCAAGAGGCTGCCGCCATCCATGTTTGCTATTGGCTTTTAAGCTTTTGACAGAAGCTCCTTGCTTCTTGCGTCCACGGAATCACATCGGAAAATTCGAACCCGGCCTGCATTTCTGCCTGTCGAAACTAGAGATCTCTCGGGAGTACTTCTAGCACAAAAGACTGGACTTGGGAAGTCTCTGAGTTGAAGAGTGGGAAGGTCTGAGGGATCAAGCATGCGAAAACCAGGATCGAGTGCCCTGCTCGATGGAAAGATCTCCCGGTCGCAGTGGAACAAAATCGATGCTCGGGTGTTGCCGAGATGGATTACTCTAGTGGTAATCGATTGTTGATCGTGCGACTGGATGAGTCAACTGTGTTTCTGGGTCAAGGGTCAGATGATTCTGGTCGATCGCTTGGCAATGTGAGGTATCATACAGGTATACAGGTACGGGCGGAGTGGATGCGAGTGGTGTTGCAGATCGCTGTCAGACGTGGCCCACTTGTTAGTGGGTTAGTGGTTGCCTCGACAGTTTTGGCGGTTGTGGTATCAATGAATGAATCGTCCAGGAGAAGAAAGAAGAGAGGGACAAGTGCAGGTGGGGTAAAACACACCGATGCCTGAACACACTGCAGTTGCCAGTGCCCCCTTGTCCTCCTGCCCTAACCTCCAAACACACCGACTGATATGTAGGAATGTACGGAGTACATTGCAGAGTACTTACAATTTCTGGAAAATACCAAGGGGATACTCAGTCTACAGTCAACCCCGGACGGATATCTCGGTCAATAATCGAGTCATTCATAATTACATGGTGCCATGCATCAAACCTCAAATCAAGGCGCTGCCCGGAAGGAACAGGACCAGGAAATAGTAACCGGTTCCGCTCGTGTGTCACTTCGGTCATTTCGGCGGATTCCCAACAGCCAAAGACCCCGTTTTATTTGTTCGTCCCCCGCCCGCTCGAGCCTGACGTCAGGTCAATCCCAAGGCTCACACTCCAATCATCGTTCCAAACCCATGGAATGGAGGGGGATTGAAAGAGCCCGTGCTCGTGAGTTGGAGTAAATCGGCCAGGGCGGAGCGGAGGGAATGTCCACCTCTCCAGCAATGACAACAACCCCTTGATTCATTACTTACTACTGGGTATCCGTAGTCCATAAAAATTCCCCGTCTCCCATGCGATGGTCTGACAGTTGTCTGACTCTGACACTTGTCACCCTCGTGGTGTTGCCAACGGTGCCATAAGTTACCGACTTTCGCCAGCAAAACCTCCCTACCTACCTCCCCACCTACTTGCAAGAATCGAATGATCACAGAACCCCCGAGCCAGCAGCCATCATGACCGACACCGCCATCACGCGTCTCCAGAACCACCTGAGGTGCGATCTCGCACGCAAGAATCGCATCGGACGAGCATGCGTTCTCAAGCGCTTCTCCCAGTGGCTGTGGTCGGTATGGATGATCGACAGCCCCCAGACTTCGGCGCGTCGCGTCGAATGCACCGGTCGCACCGAACCCACGAACTATATATGTTCGACCACAAAGGCCCCCGTCTATACACTCCCTGCACCTGAACAGCCAGTCCACGCCCCCCCGCAGCAAGACCAACCGTGCCAGCCCTGCAAGGCCTGCAAGGCCTGGGGCGTGCCGTGCGACCAAGTGCGCCCCCGCTGTTCGCACTGTTTAGATCAACAGATCCTTTGTTTCTATGTAGCCCCGACCCGGAAATCCACCAGAAAGTCCACCAGATCGACGAAACCGAGCCAAGTCGTGGATCCAACCCCGCGATTGCACGAACCTTGATCAGAGACCGATGACTGCATGAGGCAGCCTATGAAAGACGTCGGTTTCCCCGCACACGACAAGAAAACGTGGGACACGCGGGGGAACATCAACCCAATGATATGGCAGGTACTTGAAGCACCCTTCCATTTTGATTTGGCGGCCGATTATAACTCTCTAGTGCCATAACGCATCAGATGAAAGCCATCCGTGTTTAACTGGCTTAATTTGGCACATAAGGAGAAAATAAGATATCTGTCCATGATGAAGACCGGTCCGTGCAGTCAGATACATCAACGAAAATAGCTTCATATGCTGTACAAAGTCATGTGAGATGAGCTTATCTGTCAGAACCCCCCAAGATATTGGTCTGTCCATGATAAATAAACATGATGTTTGAATTTTAATGAAGCTCATGAATGAAATATTATAAGGGGGGATATTCTTATGGCAGTCTTATCAAACCCAGTCAGGTCGATGCATAAGAGAAATAGACACTTAGTAGCAGACGTAGAGTTCTCTCACAAAACGGAACAGAAGAAGAATGACAAGCAACAAGTAAGGAGTAAGCCTTGACCTTCAGCTCCTTGACTAAGACCAACAAGATAATGAGACGAACAAGAAAAGCGGTTATCATGAAAGACGAACCCACAGGATTTACTGTGGTAGTTAAACCGGGCTATACGATATTGTTCTAGCAAATAATCATGATAAGAAATATCGGTTGCTAAGATCTCTTCTTACTTCATTAAGCGTCACCAGTTTCTTGAGTTAGAATATGATATATATATAAAATATATAACCTCTGATGGTTATACAGTCATATCCTTAGTACTAGCTTACCTCAAGCCTACCCTACCACGTATGTAAACCAATTCATTAGCCCTATCTAGCTGCCAGGCGGGTTTCATAACATGGAACTGTTTCTTCACTGCTAGAACCTTGCCCGTGCACCCATCCTTTTCTTAATGGCCGGATTTTATGCTTTACCATTGACCTGTTCAAGCGATCTCTATATTGAGCTAGTTGGGGGTTTGAGAGTCGTGACGAATGAGCTTCACCAGATACATACAAGCTACTGTGCCAGAGAAATGGATCTAAGCTAATGGGAATGGAATGTTTAGCTAATCGGTGCTTGCAGAGCAAGCTCATTACACCAAGACAATAAAAGTCGCAAGTACCTACACAAAAGGCTTAATGTGCATAAAGTGAGACCTTTCGGAGGTTCATATTATCTAGTTCCATTGCGGATCCCCAGGATATCTCGGGACCGTGCCGTTGCCGTGCTAAGTAGGGAGTCCGACTTTTTTTATACCTCTACGCACTCAAGGTCTAGGAAACATTGGTAATGGATACGAGTTAATACTAGTACTTCCTCGCTTATGATGCAACGCCAGGATCCCGAGCTCTATTTGGTATGTTCACCGATCAAAGACCTTCCCGGGGTTCCTGCAGTAAAAGAAGTGTACAGGTCAGTTACCACTTCAATTTAGAAAAGTTAATCACGGCCAGAGGAGAAGATCATACAGAATCCAATGGGGGTCCAGAATTCCTTTCAGGATTTTCTGTTTACTGGTCGTAACGTTAACAAAGCTCCTCGGTCTGCCCTTTATATCGAACCAGCACCGCATTCGTGCGTTGGGCTTTGGACTATGCCAGGGTACAATGTATCATAAATGAGATAGTTTTATCGCCAAGCTCTTGTTCAAGGGCTTCCTTTTTGCCAAAACCGATACCATGCTCACCAGTACAGGTGCCGTCCATGCCTATGGCTCGACTGACCATATTTTTCACGGCTGTTTTGGCCTTCTTGCACTCCTCTGGACTTGTACCG